AGAGAGAGAGAGAGAGAGATCAAGAAAAACATACTATTAAATAGAAAGTGGGGAAGGAAGAGAAAAAAGATGGAGAACAGCGCTAAAAGAAAGAGATATTAGGGGAGGGGATCGTATCTTTGCGTGTAAATTAGGAGCGATCTTCGCACTTAAATAGATACGTATTTTTTGAAAAGAAGTGCAAATAATTTGTAGCCCTAATGCGACAACAAAGAGAGAGAAAGAGAGAGAGAGAGAGAGAGAGAGAGAGAGAGAGAGAGAGAGAAATAAAATAAACAAAAGCGTGTATTAATTTTTTTTCGGGTGAGACGAGCCTTTGTGGCCTTTCGCCATTTAAATATTAGTCGTACCAACCGCATTTATAATAGACGAGAATGTTATAAATCGTAGCAATGAAAAAACGGAGACAAAAAAAAGCATTAATAAAAAGAATAAAAGGGAGAAGAAGTTGATATGAATGAAGGGATGAGATGATGGGATGGGGTTGTGAGAACGGGAGATACTTTAAAAGATAAGCAAAGTTTTCCAAAGGTAGCTGCAGGTACTTAAACAAGAAAGATAATTAAACAAAAAAATAAAATAAAATAAAATAAAATAAAATAAAATAAAATAAAATAAAATAAAATAAATATGAACCGCTTTACACAGAGGCCGTTAAGCGATAACACTTAAGAGTTTTTGTAACGTATATTTGTTAAGAGACTACTGTTTTGTCACTCACAAACACCCTAACAGTATTTGGATCGTTGTACGTCACTTTATTACCGAATAAACAAACGGGCGATATGGTGGGTGGTGTGTAGCGTGAAGGATTTAAAAAAAGGTGAAAGAAAGAAAAAAATGACGATGATTAAATTAGCAGGATATGTATGTATAAACAAACAAGAAAAAAAAACAAACAAACAAACGAAAAGAAAAAAAAGAAAATAAATAAAAAAGGGAATCGCAATAACCCAGAAACGGCCATGCACTGCAAAAAAAACAACGTACATTTATTAAGCTACGTATTGTCGTTTAGCACAAATCTGTTAAAAGTAAATAAATTATTAGTAGAGATGCGAATTTATTGAAAAGGTACATGTGCCGGCGAGAAGGAAAATATAATTGCGATAAAAGCGCTAAAAATAAAAAATGGAAAAAAATTAAATTAATAAATAAATAAATAAATAAATAAATAAAAAAGAAGAAAAATAATAACGAAAAAAAGACCATATGGTACAGTCATGTCCGAAACATAATAATAAAATAGAAAAAAAGATAACCCCGCGTATGCATACTTTTAATTAAGCGAATACTGTGAAAACACGGGTGTTAAGGGAACATTTTTTTGTTATAGGTACGCGCGTCATTATTATTATTATTATTATTATTATTATTATTATTATTATTATTATTAACATTATTATTATTATTATTATTATTATTATTCTTATTCTTATTATTATTATTATTATTATTATTATTATTATTATTATTATTATTATTATTATTATTATATTATATTATATTATATTATATTATATTATATTATATTATATTATATATATTATATTATATTATATTATATGTACATATATATGTATGTATGTATGTGTATGTATATGTACATATGTATGTATGTATGTATGTGTATGTATATGTACATATGTATGTATATATGTATGTATGTATGTATGTATATATATGAACATATATATGTATGTATACGTATATTCGTAATTATCTAAAAATATATATATATATATATATATATATATATATATATATGTATATACATATATATAGATATTCCAATTAGACCACAAAATGACATGTTTTAAAGCAGTGTACAATTATGAAACGACATATTTGCAAGGGAAACAAAAATGGGCGTAACAGGCTACCTACCTACCCCACGTTTATTCGTGATAGATGTACGTAATCGATGTACGTATTTTCATATAGACATGTGCGTAATGAATAGATTCATATGTTCATATGTAAATATATACCCGATTGAGAAAATACGGAGTTAAATAATGAGATGATATTGCACAAATTGCAGCTTCTATGATATCCGTTTTATTAAAGAGAGAAGCCATTTAAAAATAATGATAATATAGAGAGAATGATTTGAAAATTTGATCACAACTTTGGCACACACACATATAGAGAGTATTATTAATCGTATACGCGTCTGAAACTATATATATATATATATGTATATGTATATGTCTATGTATATATATATGTGTATATATATATATATATATCCGATGATGGTCCACTTCGAAATAGTGATTTCTCAAAAGAGAATATCCATTTATTAATTTTCTTAATTTATCCTTCAAAGAGTAGAAAAGAGAGAATGTTGAAACACACTCCATGGATGTGACTGTACAACGTGAATAACGAAGACTTGTCCGGCGGTATATATATCGAGGATTTGTTTTCAAACTTGAGTCTAAAGGGTTGCATATTGTACATAAACAAGACATATTTTCTATATAAGGGACGTCGCTCGGTAAAGCCGATGGCTCGAAAAATATTGCAATATTATGATAATTCTTTCAAGCGATAGGATAGCGTTTAATCGTTTTATGTAATGTAATGATAGAAGAGGGTCTGACAGAATAAAAATGGAAGTTCTGTATTTAAAAACATCCTTTTCCGTGTGTGTTCATTTGTATGTTCGTGATCGTCTCCCACGTACATATACAGATTTACGAATTGTTTTTATAAACCAAGGATATACAACAGTTATGTTTGTACGTTCGACCAAAATTCTATCGAAAAAAAAAAAGCAGTGATTATCTAAGAAATCTAATAAATATAGTACTACGCGTGTTATTATCCTTAAGAACAAAAAAACTATCCTTTGGATCTTGAACTATCGATTGTTATTTATAAAAATTTGTCATACAAAAGAAAAACAACTTCTTTAATGAGTTTCGATAATTAAACGATCATTAAGTTATTAATAATACAATAACATTATGTTATATATACAAGATTTAGAACTTATTTTAATGCAATTGTATATACATTAAGTACTTTCATCACCGTCTATCACTTTATCTTGCTCCTGATTTTGTTTTTCTATTTCCTGTAAAGAAAAAAAAAAAAAGAGAAAAGAAGAAAGAAAGAACAGAAATGAAAATTATATTCAGTCAAATAAGAAACACACAAGTCTCAAATGATATAAATATATATGTTATTGATAATTATATCTTTAATTATAGAATTATACAAATGTTATTTACCTTTTGAATAGCACTTGTTAAACTTCCGTTAAATGTTTGGAAATATTCATTAATTTCTTGCGGAATGCAGAAATGTCTCGTTTGTGTTGGTTGAATACCAATATCTTGAGCAATGAATCTAAATTCAGGTGCATCGTTAATACGATTTTGTAATTCTTCGTAAGTGAAAAGAGTTCCTTTCGTAGTATATTCATTCACCGGACCAAAATCTACTATTTTTATATTCTTATTCTCATTGCGTATAACATCAAATGAATCTGTAAATAATTTGATTGAAAATTATTTACAGAGAAATGCATTATATATAAAATCGAAACGATTGTAAATTACATGTACGTTTGTACATGCCAAGAAAAAATCATATAATTATGCGTATTAACTCACAGCTAGTCAATGAAAAGTTTCCTTTAATCTTTTCTATGAATAACTTTTCGATATCAGCTTTTATATTGTACTTTTCTAACTCGTTATAGGTATAATATTGTGACATATCTCTCTGGCTAATTCCTGTAAGTATTACAATTAGTTATATATTAAAAAAGTGAAAAAAATTAATTAGTTAATAATATTAAGCAATAATATTTACCAACAAGTTCATCATCTATAACAAAACATCTGTATTCTGCACAAGGATTTATATCTTGCCATTGTTTCAGTACCAAGCATGGTCTAGGATAATTTTCTCTATCGGACCAACGTTTAAGAACGCTTAAATCGTTTGCTATTCTGTCTGAACTCTTCAACAGTAAATATACTTCTTCCAAAGTCTTACACTTTAGACTCTTTGTTGGTGCTACCCATGTTGCATCCTTAGGAAAATTACATGATATAACATAAAGAATGAATTTGCATATTATAAATATTAAAAAGCAATACGACAGTAAAAATAATATGATCTAATAATATGGTATTCTCCTTACGCAAGGTGAGCTCCAGTTACTTTTAATAAATACCGATCCATATTCGTCAATTACATCTTGTATGCTTTTGCTAAATTCTGGAAATGATGGCTGATATTCAGAGTCCTAAAAACGACAATATAAATATTTATAATACTTGTAAATATAAAGCAATAAAAAAAAGATATAAAATACCTCATCATTTTGCAAAGAAGAATCATTCCATTCGTTATCAGATGAATTATGTTTTATAGCTTCTGAAGGTAATAGAAACATATCATACTCTAAGTATTTCAAAATTTCATCAGGAATTTCTATAATAGTAGCTACTAAAGAACATTTTATAAATTGCTTATACCAGTAACAGAATGAAAATTCAGGTTGTAAATTATTGATCATATTTTTTAATTATAAAGAATTTTCTATTATATCACAAGAATATCTATTGTACAATAATATTAATTAAAAAGTAAATATAATTTTTCACTAGATTGTTTTTGTCAAACTGTTTATAACCTTAATATGGAACAATATATATATAAACTGATCATGACATTATTCGTTAATATCAGAAATACCAACTTTACATCTAAAAATACTGTAAAGTTAATTACTGCATTGATCATTGACCAACTATTATAAAGTTACAAAAATTCTAAATATTTTAAGCTTTTCTCGTTTGTTATCTTCATTTTAATAAATTTAAATTTTATTTTAAGAAATTAAAAAAATTTTAAAGAAAAAATAGATATTATTGTTATAGAAAATTATATTTTTGATTGTTGCTTTATTATTGGTCATCTTATTTTATGATGTATTCTTTTACGTGTATGTCTTATTTAACGATTCGTTGAATTTTTAGATCGACTACAGGAGAAACATTTCTTAACGTAACAAAAAAGTTCTAGTATATGGGATTTTAAGAAAGTAATAAAAGTACAGTTGGTAAATTGGTATATACGTGCATGGTTGGTTCTACGACGTTTCATTGTATAGAACGTATGGAATATTAAGAAATTCTTTAATCTGTAATTTAATCAGGTTCAATTTAAACAAATCTTTTACAATTATTTTCTATCATTTATATTTACAAAATTTTTGTAACAGGTTATTGAAATTATTTATTCATCTTAAATGAAGTGTTTATTATTGATAGTTTAGAAAGAAGATAATGTTAATAAAAATTTGAATGATAATACGTTTGCAGGATCTTTAAATAAACTATGCATCGGTGATATGGTATATATTAAATTATATATATATATATATATGTAGATAAAAAATATATTTATCGACGTTTTGATTTTACTCAATATGTCTACACGTTATATGAAAAAAGTTTTTGGTGGAGATGTAATCGTTGATGGAGATAAAGAAAATGTTAGCGATGTGGAAAATTCAGTAAATGACAACTTCAAATCAAAATCATTCAATGTGTTTGATGTGGTATATTGAATTTTATTACTTTTGATACGTTTCAATATACTTAGTGTTATCCCAAATGTATGAGCATATTTAAATTTATAGAATATTCTTCTTATAGTTAAATGATAATTCACCAAGCGAAAGTGAAACTGTGGGTGAAACACACAATGAGACAAATTCAGATATTGTTAAAGGTAAAAAAAAAAAGAAAAAGCGTAGGAAACCAGATATTGGTAAAACACAAATACGTAAACCTGAAGACGAGGAAGAAATAGATGAAATTGAAAGAACAGTAAGAGAAGTAAATCAACTACTTGGAGAACCATTACCAGGTTCTAGCAAACAGAATTCTGAAAAGCCACAATGGATTGTAGGGAAATCTAAAGAAAGTATTCTGACTGTTCAACATAAACAATTAAATCCATATAATGAACTTAAGAGAATTTTTGGAAGTAAAACTATACAAGCAGAACAAGGGTATTTTTATAAAATAACAATATATATATATATATATATATATTATTATATTTGACAAATTATATTAATGACTTAATAAAATATGTTAGCAAACGAAGGAATAGAGGACGTATAGGTCACTTAAAGAAAACTTGGTTGGTATCTCCAAGAGAGAATTGGCCACCGATTGGAAAATCTGGATTATCAATGTCTTTGGATTCTACAATGAAATCTGTTGAAAATGTTCAATATTTTGTTTATGAGCATGATTCTTCATATAGGCAGATACAATCTAAATTCTTTGAAGCTGTTGAAAGTTCCAATCCTGAAAGTCTTATAGTAAGTTATTTAAAAGATAATAAGTTTGTAGTATGCATATTATATTTATGTATATATATCTAATCATTTTAGAATATTATAAATACTCATTCTTATCATGTGGATACATTACTGCAATTAGCAGAATTGTGTAAGCTTAGCGAGGATTTGCCAATGGCTGTAGAATTTACAGAAAGAGCATTGTATTGTTTAGAGTGTGCATTTCATCCATTGTTTAATATGACAACAGCATGTTGCAGATTGGATTATAAGAAACAGTTAAATCGTGCATTGTTTATAACATTATTTAAACATCTTATCTTTGTTGGTGGACGTGCTTGTTACAGGTAATGTAAATAATTAAACAAGTAACATAAATACATATATGATATTAAATACAAAGAATATAATAGATTTTTTATAATTTCAGAACAAGCCTAGAGTTTTGTAAATTGCTGCTAGCACTTGATCCTCAACAAGATCCATTAGCAGCTGTTCTATTTATTGATTTTTATGCATTAAGAGCCAGAGAGTATGAATGGTTTGTGGATTTCTGCAATCTTTGGGATAGCGCAAGGAATTTAACTCAGCTTCCAAATATAGCTTATAGTTTGGCTCTTTCACATTTTTGTTTGGGCAATTATGATACTGCAGATGAATTATTACAAAATGCTCTCATAATGTTTCCAGGTGTTCTCATGCCCTTATTAGAAAAATGTAGTGTACAAACTGACTCGAAGGTAAATAAAAAGATATCTGTATAAGATAAAAGATAATTAAAAATATAAATATTCTAGGTGACTGCTCATAATTTTTTCAATAGCAAAGCTAAAACAACGACTTCTGTAGCCTTAGAGAAATTACAAAATTTGTACATAGTACGTAGTTTTCATTTATGGAAAGAAGCTGATATTTTGCCATGGTTGGAAAAATGTGTACATTTAGTCCTTGATCGGATTGATTCTCAAGATAGTTACGTTAAATATTGTGAAGTAAAACGTGGCGAACGATATAAGGGGAATTTGCCAACAAATATTTTAAGACACATTATACTTGCAGATATAAAAGAGATTACAGTCAACATTCAAGAGGTATATTTTCATTATGAAATAATAAAAAATGTGCAAGATAGATAAGAAAAAAAATATTTTAACAAATACTGTAAATACTTATTTTTTTTTATTTATTTACTTTTTCTATATATCTATCTAAGATTCAAGAGGCAGCACCAGTGTTATTACACGATCCACTACCACCTGCTAACAGTATAGATACTTATGGACGACCTACTACAGGTCAAAGAGGAAATTTAAGTAATTGGAATCTTTTTTCCCTTTTCTTTTCTTCATTGTTTGGGGATGTAGATGCAGCTATTGCAGAAGTTGCAGACGTTGCAGAAGATCTTGCTGCCCGTGGATTCAATTTGTTGTAAGTATTATCAACAATCTATATTATTAAAATGACAACAACAAACAGTGACAATATAATTACTAATACAGTATCTATAAATGTTTACAGTGATCAAAATGACGATCGAGCGTAAGGTAACTCAAGATATTTATATAAATACATATCTGCGAGTTTGCATTACTATTGTTTTTATGATAATTTGTCATGCAATTGTAAAAAAATATCTCTTTTAAGATTTACAATATTTGGAATATGTAGTTATCAACTGTAAAAGTATTGAACATTTATTTTACAATCAACTGATAAATTGATAAATCACAGTGAAATTTGAATTGAGCATAACTAAATAATTTTATTTATATATGATAGTATTTAACTGATTGGTTGTTACATTTATTGGTAACAGCCACGATCGTCATAAAAAGGTATAACAGAGTGCAATAGATTTAAATTTTGTTCGATTCAAGAGCAACAATTGCGATTGAAGTTTTTTTAGAAAGTAAGTCTCTTTCCCAACTCTTTCACATCGTTAATCTACTCTTTAAGAATCCATTCTCTATCATATGTAGAATTCGAATCGAATCCATATTCACCTATGTACTTGCAAATTTTAGTTTGTAATATTCTGTTTTTGGAAAAATTCTACATAATGGAATGAATATAAGAGGTATCAAATATGTTGTGAATTTTTCTAAGTGATAAATAAGTTATGTAATATTAACATCTAATAGAGGATATTCTATTAATCAAAATTTCTAATTTACCCAAATGCCTGTGTTCATTAGAAAAAAATTATTATTTTCCAACGTACTTATTTACAGATGTATACAATTGTTCAGTAATATAATCTTATTGTTAATTTCTAGTCGTATTATAAATTTAATCATTTCCTAGAATTTTATTAAATGCAAATTTTGTTTGCTTATCTTAATGCGCTCAATCGGCACGAGGATGTATGCATTTATGTGCGTTCTCTAAATGCACTGGGCATTTTTAGTTATTAATTGCACCATTAAAAAACCCACTTCTTTTCTTCAATGGAAAACTTTGAAGGCTGATAGTGGGAACAGAAAAGGAATAGATGGTTCAAATAATATTGTCAAATTTAAGTATGACAATTGATGTTCATCATTGTTCCACAAGACCTAATTTCATGAACTCCTTATTTTATACCATACTGTGGAATACTGGATTATAACGACAAATTCCAGGTCCATTTTCCTGGTAATCTTTTTTGGTATGACATACTGTATAAAATTCTGGGTCACTAGCTAAGAGTGCACCTCCGTACCATACTGCACAACGTTGTTTATGATGTGATATTACATGCACGTCTATAGGTTTCGGCTAAAAAAAATTACACACATATATATATATATATATATATTGAGATCATAATTTATTATTTTTTAACAGACTTACCGTGATATGGCTACCACTTAATGTTTCACTAAGTTTTAAACGAGCATCAACAATCCTTTTAATGTCACGTTGTAATCTTCTTCCAAAATCTTTAAACATTGTAGAACCTCCTGATAAAACAATGTTACTATATAATGGTCTTCTGACATCTATTGGACAGTTTTGTATGACATCATCAACTATTTCGCTAAGTGGTGTTGTAAAATCAGGATTGGAAAACTAAAAATTATTATATAATTAAAAGATGATAAAATTTTGTAGTCTCGTATTTAAACAATCTTTGTATGCTTTATACCTCAGGATGGAAAAATATTTCAGGTCCTAAAAATCTTTCATACCCAACATCTACAATGAAAGGCTGTTTCGTGATACTATTGATACCTTCATACTTTTTTATTTTGGTAGGATCGCTGTCATATTTTGCAAATTCTTTAGAAATATCAGGACAAATATAACAATATTTTTCTTTTATAGCTTTAGCTGTTTCTAATGATTGTTCAGGAGGTATTCCAATTTCACGTTCTCGTAAAAGACTTTGTATAAAATATGTTATATCACGACCAGCAATAGGTATATGCTTTATACAACTACCTATGACAAAGCCTTCTGCCTAAAGAAATAATATATTATATTTACTATATATGTATATATTCATTTATATACAAAAATAAATTTTTTAAATTATTCAGATAGGAATATACTTACTACTGGTATCACATGTGTTACTCCATCTCCACTATCAACGACGACACCTGTCAATGTTCTATCTTCAACATTTTTAGATGTCCAAGAAGCTGCTAAAGCCAATACTGCTTGCACAGCAATATATAATCCTGGTACATTAAAAGATTCGAACATAATTTCTGCTGTATATTCTCTATTTTCTGGTGTATTAAGGGGTGGTTCGGTAAGCAAGAAATAATGATCTTCAGGTTCTGCCCTCAAATATTTGAATATGCATTGCTGAAGAAATTTTTCCATTAAATCCCAATCTTCGACCAATCCATGTCTAACTGGATACTACATATGTAGAAGACAAAGGAAAAAAGAAAATTATTTATAGTAAATAATAATCTTTATTTCGTATCTATCATTCCATACAAACCTTAATAGAATAACCAGTTGCTTCAAATGCCTCATCTCCAATGTAGGTATCTAAATCTTCTACTCCTTTGGTAATTCTTCTAGCATTATTATCGCCAACTTTGGCTGTTTCTTTAATGGCTATTGCAGATGGTATAGTAAGTTGTGGTTCTTTATTTCCTGCGAAGCCTAATTTTGTGTATCTATAAAAATATATTAGATGACAGTTTTTTCATTTGATCCTAATCCATAAAATAGTAAATAATAATGAAATAACTTAAATTTTTTGAATGATTTCTTATGGAAAAAGAGAGGAAAAAATAAGCAAAGGAAAATATTTTATTATGAAAAAATAAAAGTATATATTTAATAGTAAATTTAAAAAGATAAGAAAAATCATTTTAAAATTATTTCCCTTTTCATATTTTAACTACTATTATGTTATCGTAGTTAAAAGAAGCTGCATAATTTTCTTTGAAATATAGATATATTTACCCTGTACCAACGTCGATAACACATGCAGGAAGACGTCCGATCATCTTGATTTCGTATTTTAAACGGCTCGCACTGACGAAGTACTCCTCGACAGTGGGCTACAAATGTAACCGCAAAAACCACACCTCGCTCTCGATCTCACGACTCACGATAAAAGCACGGACTTGCACAGGCATGCGCTTATTCAGATTTCTGACAGTAGCATCGCCATCTTAAACATAGTTCATTCGACGAATATTCTTGCGTTACATAAGAACTATACTTTATAATATATTCAATTGATTAATTAAAAATTTTTATTATGATTAATTACGTTAAATCATAAATCACGATATGTTAAATATTTTATATAATTTTTATTTGAAAAAATCAATCTGAACATATTAATATATGTAATTATAATTGAATATTGAATAATTTGTTTATTTTATTTTTATTATATAGATAAAACTTACTTCTGTGTTTGGATTAATCGATTTAAAATAAGTTACATGCGAATAAAATATGATAATTACACTTGTAATACTCAAATATCATTAACTCAATAATAATTTTATAATAGATGACGTTGGTATTCCTGGTATAATCTTTTTTTGCGTTATATGTTGACACGTTGATGTTCCGGCTGGATACAGATGGTTTAAAAAGTGAATAATTATAACTAGCCGGTAATTCTGATATAAATATGAAAGTATAATAGTTGTTGAAAATGTAGAAAGTAAATTGAAGATATTCAAAGATATTTTAGTTTTTTTTTTTAGATACAGAATATCTTTAAGCGAAAATAAACGAATTTTAAAAAGAATACCATTGAATTTATAGCAATTGACAGGAATTAAATATACATATTTTCATAATGAAGCTAAAAAATATAGGAAATAGATTAAAGGATGAAAATTTAGATCTTAGTTTATGTGACCTGGATGAAGTGCCTGTGGAAGAAATTGTAAGTGAAATATTCCATATAATTTTTTTAAAGAATTGATATTTTTTCTTGATATGATTACCATATTTAATATATAATGTAATTAATGAAGAATATTATTGTTTAATTTATGTTGCAGGCAACTGTTAGAAAACTGACATATTTAGACTTATCTAATAATTTCTTAGTTACATTACCTGTAAGTCTTTTACTAAGCATTAAACGATATTTCTATAATATAAAAATGATTATAATTTCAAAAACAACTTTTTTTTTCAGAATAATTTTGTCATACTTAAACAAATATTGAAGTTAGATCTAAGTAAAAATATGTTAACGGAAATTCCTGAGAACTTTGGTGAAATGACGCAATTAAAATATTTGGATCTGTATGCTAATCAGGTATTATAAAATTTGTTTTGCATACATAAATAAAAAATAACTGCAAGTTATTGTAGACCATTGTTACAGATAAGCCGTTTACCTTTGAGTCTCAGCGAATTGAAGAATCTAAGATGGCTGGATCTAAAAGAAAATCCATTAACACCTTCTGTTGCAAGTATTGCTGGCCCATGTAATAATGCAGAAGAGTGTAAAAATTGTGCTCGTAATGTTGTAGAATATTTAAATAATGTCAAACGTTCCGTAGAAGAGGAAAAGTTACGTAGACTTAATGCTAAGTTAAATAGTAAGCTTTTTTTTTGTCTTAATATTTTATAAATTATCTATTTATTAATGTTATATTTTTTAATGTTATTATTTCATTATTTTGTTGTCTTATAGAGATGTCAGTAGTTGCCAATAAAGATAATGATAATGATACAACAAAAAAAGAATCAAAAAAGAAAAAGAAGAAGAAACACACGGACAAAGAAGTTGAAAAGAATTTGAATAAGAACAAATCAGAAGTGGAATGTAAAGTGTCTGAAAATATAGAGGATAAGATGGATAGTTCAAAAGAAACATTTAATGAGCAAAACCAAAAGCATTGCATTTCTGCTGGCAAGTATTTCCAATATTCTACAATAATTTACATTAATACATTATTTTAATCATATTCATCTATTTACTTTAATGTCTTATCATTTATATTTAGCACTATGTAGGATACTTACTTCACTATTCCTATGGACAGTCATGTTTGGCATTGTCTTTGGCTCTTTGATAATAATCCTTCCTCTATATAATAAAGAACTATCATATACAATTATGGATTACATAGAAAAGCACACAGGTATATTTCTGAAAACTTATCAAAGGTATGGCACAGAATTATTACAAAATAAAAGCCAGATTTTAATGAAATGGATGAATCATGCTTGTAAGACTATAAATGATATTTACAATGGTTACAATTTAACAGATATTATCTAATATTATCTATAACAATATATATTGTAGCCTTTGTTTGTAATATCATTAACCTGTGCGTGACATCAGATATATCTCAGACAGGATGTATTTTATTATACATTATTTTTCTTAAATTTATTTTAACTCATGATTCACCACTTATCAGTAGAATGGCACATAACACTTTTGATATATTACATTTTAACTATTATATGATTTATTTTTTATAAAATAATGCACATTCAGTGTTATTGTAATTTTTTTTCTTTTTTCATATTATATCAAATCATAGGTATTTTTACTGTTGTAAGTATAATATCTACATGGTATATATGGATTATTTTTTAGAGATGTACGAACAGGGAAAGAAATAAAATTTCGTATATAATATCAACATATTATAGTCTGTTCCAATCATTTACATCTCAGGACGATGTATTTAATCCATAAGTTTTGTTCATGGATGTCGTTGGTACTGCTCTTGTCGGAGATACTTTACCAAATGAATTCTCCATTTTATTAATTAATTTCTGAAACGTATTCTTCCGAGAAAAATTCTGTTGCTCTTCATAACAATCAAGATCTGTAATCTCGTTAGATACTCTCTTATTTGTTACAGAACCGATGGAATCACTTGATCTATGCTTTCTGCTAGTTACAAATCTATTCCATGACCTTTTATCTGGACTAATAGATGTTCTCGAAAGATCTTGATCCTTGTTCTCCTCTGATATTTCTTTCTGACGTGCCGTGAAATTTGCTAAAATAGCTACGTCGTCATAAATTTGTTCTTCCGTTTGAGATGATTCAACTTGTTGCCACGTATTGTTTCTCGGTAACTTATAATGTTCACAGTCGTTCGATATCCTTTTCTCAAGCTTTTGAATATCAGATTGCATTTGTTGCTGTTGGAACGAATGCATAATTTTTAATATAAATGTAAGTATAGAGATAATTCTATCGTCATATACTTACATTTTTTTTCTCATGACATCCGTTAACATCATCATAAAATTCTTCTTGAACAGGCAAGATTATTGTTGATGGCTTATATGCAGGTCTCGGTGGCTTATATACAGGTCTCGGTGCTGGCGGACAAGTATATTCGGGCATTTCATTGGACGTGGACGTTTCTTTAATAATCAAATCAGAGACATCGTCGTACGTAGTCATTTCCTTTTCCTGAATAATTTGCGAAGGCGGCGTCAATGTTTCTCGTTGAGCGACTATTATCTTCTCTTTTTTTTGTGGCGATTCTTTCTTATTTCTCATTCTATCCAAAAATGATTTTTTATTCGGTGTTTTTTTTTGTACTTCTTCATTTTTATCCTTCGCCTTATTACCAGGCGATGGAGTATTTATCAGGGTCTATATAAGTAAAGAAAAGGAAAAAATTGAAAATATATTTTAAATTTTACATATCGAATGAATTACAAATTTTAATCTTACCTCAACGTCATCATATGATACCAATGAGGTTGGTGTCTGTGATTCATTAAAGTTGATGACATTTTCTTGAAGAGATTCACAATTCTTTTTCTCTTTTATAACGGAGGAGCTGCTTATATCGTCGTAAGTTTCATCAAAACGTATCATTTCATTTTCCATCGTATTGGATACATTCTCTTCTTTCGATTTAGATTTCGTATGTTTACGATTTTTTCCTAGAATCGTTTGGACGTCATCGTAAGCAGCAGTGATTTTCTTCGATTTTTCAACAATTGTCGTCTCTTTTTGATTCTTCGACACTAAATTCTGATAACACGTACCATCACCGAGATCTTCTATTTTGTGATAAATATCATCTTCGTCGTCCATCATCTCATATGACGAAATTATATTACTCGGAGGTAACGATGGAAGTTTTCGTGATATACGAATTGGTAACGGAGGAGGACTCGTATTCTCACTCGTTTGAACTTTGCTTTCATGATCAGGTTCAATGGTCTTATTCTCGTTAATGTTCAAGAAGGTCGTTTGTAATTTCGTTGAATCTACGAGACGATCTTTTGCAATAATCTCGTCCGTTTCATTAACTATTCCAGAGGAAGATACCAAAGATACATCTTCTTTTGTATTAAGTCCAAGATCAAGTTTGATCTCGTTAGAACCAACTTGACAAACCATGGCAACCCATTGTTCCATATCTTTTGGCGTTCTTGCGATAAACTATTAATAAGGATATATCATAGATGAATGAAGGAAGAAGTAGGAAAAAGAACAAAAAGAAATAAAGGTAATTCAATCTCTCTTACTTGTAATGTTTTATTACCAGGTTTGAAAATTTCAAATGCTGCCTCGCTTCTTTTTTGATCACGTGGAACAATATTAGGCGCTGGTCGACCAGAATAACCGCGAATTCCTTGAATACTGTAAGGCTTATTACTTCGTTCGTTTCCGTAGATCAACAAATGACTTCCTACCAATGCTGAGAGAGAACACGTCAAGAATTTCATTTAAATATGGCTAAACGCAGAAAGAGAGGATACAATTATTTATATTTGTAGATATTGATGTATTTGTATATATATATACTTGCCGACCCAATTGATTCGATATTGTTCAAAAACAAATAATTTTTTGCCTTCCTTGCGGAATAATGGTCCACATTTTAAAGATTTGCTTTTCGCCTGTGCACCAGATAAATTGGAATAAATATTAATGAGCGCGTTCTCTTGATATTCTCCAAGTTCTTTTTTTTTATCATCCTCGGTCATCAATCGGAATGTTTCGTAATAATCATAATGTATTTGGGATATAGGACGGTTTTGACTTTGAGATATCGTTTCCTCCTTACCGACGTACTCTTGCACGTCGGATACATTTATTTCTCCAATATTCATGGGTAACAAACCTTTCGAGCTAGCATTCATATGGAGATAATGTTCAGTTGACGATGCTGTACTTTCGGTTCCCGTAAGAACACTCAAGGCGTTTTTAGATCGTAACAATAAATTCTCTCGTATGGTCTCCATTGTACCCGATAAATTTGCTTCTCGAAGAAATTCGAGAAATTGTACGATCTCTGCGAATTATGATAATGATCAAAAATTAAAAAAATAAACAAAAAAATAATTTCAGTCAATCAATAAGACTAATAAAATAAATAATTTTTTTAATCGACCTAAGTGAAATCAATAAAAATAATATAATTAAATAGAATAAAAAATTCTTTTAGCCGAGTAAGAACAAAAAAAAGAAAAACATTTTTTAGGCGACTAATGAAATTGAAAAGATGAATATAAACACGAAATTCCTTTAATTGACTAAAGAAATTAGACTAAAGAAAATAAAGAAGTCTTTTAGTTTAATTAACACGTACCATGAAGTATAACAGTGAGTTCTGCGTCAAGGCCCATTTTTCTTTTACGCGTTGTCTACTCGTGGAACGTAAAGTATTGTTATTGTTTCCACTTTTTAACGACGTTGATTTTTGTCCAAACGATTACACATCGAGATTCTATTCGATGAATATAATCATTACGTCTATAAGCATCGTCTTGGATCAAACAATCGAGTATACACTAATATAGTGTAGTATATCGTTTTTAACACTTAAAAAAAAAAAAAAAAAATAGAAAGTAACGAATTTCATGAAAACTCAAAACAAAAAAAAAAAAAAAAAAGAAAATAATCTTCGAATAAACGAATTTTATAAACAATATTACTATTGTCTTCGTTACATTTGATTCGTACATTTAATTCGACAGGAAGAAGGTATCTCTAGATAAGACTTATCAAAATATTTACATATGGACTTATCAAATATTATAAAAGAAATATTCTCTTCAATAAGTTTTTTATATCTTTTATTTTATTTGGTTCTGTTTCCCTCCCTTTTTTTTTTTTTTTTTTTTATACTTAATTTCCTCGTATGAAAAGTTAAATGAAATTTAATTAAACGAGACAAATTTTTCAATCAAATTTTCGTAAATCATTTCTATCCACATATACTATGATAAAATATTCCTTATCATTTCTTTTTATGTATTCTTATTTATTTTAATTAATTTCTAAGTGTAAAAAATCGAAAAAAAAATTCACGATAGGAAATAACAAATTTAAATGAAATCAATTTCAATTTTGATTCGTATATATTAAAATCACAAATAGAAAGAGAAGGACAGAGAGAGAAACAGACAGACAAACAGACAGATAGACAGAGGATAGATAGAAAGATAGTATCCTTTTTTTATTGTTTCAACGAAAACACGATGTCTAACGAAGGACGACGAAACATTTCCATGTAATAATTCGATGACTTGCTTAAAACTTAAACATACGTATTTTACCGGTCAAGGATCATTCACTATGTAACGATATAATAATAATAATTTGTATATTTCTCTTACTAAGTTATTCACTTTGCACGATGTTTAATTAACTTCGTCATAATTCTTTCGAAATCACTATGCATTTACGAAGAATAAAATATTTAATATTTCATATTATTGTCATAATATCATAAGAGAATATTATTTTTATCAAACTCGTCACGATTAATGTCATTCTCGATGATGGATAAATTGAATTTAACTGGTATCACTGGTGAATACGTTTGATACGTTCTCGAACACAACTAATATTGATACTTGTCACGAATACTCATTTTCAATCGTTACTACCTCTCACTTCGAATGGAAAGAAACTCACTTTGCGTGTCTCCTTTCGGCTTACATTTACGTAGAACTAACATATACATATATCGTTGAAATTCGATGGGCGATGTCTACAAATGCGGGAGCTTAGACTCCCGCAAAGACTCTTTCTCTCTCTCTCTCTCTCTCTCTCTCTCTCTCTCTCTCTCTTTCTTTCCCTCTCTCTTTCTATTTCTCTCTCTCTTCTCTCTCTTTCTCTTTCTCTCTCTCTCTCTCTTTCTGCTATTTTACACGCCTTAACTTCTGATCCTCCTGTACAGTTCTCTTTAACGAGCTGACTCAGAACCTCGGCGCGCTTCTTCCTTTTGTCCCTCCACACTCTATGCCGCAATCATTTTCAACGCTGCAACGACTGACGAGAACGAAGATGACAATGTCGTTGCCACTGCCTCCGAGCTTCCTAACTTCAACTAACAACGAGAGAGAGAGAGAGAGAGAAACAAGCGTTAATTGATTTCAATTCTGATTAATTGCTGGAGTAAAAAGATGATATTTGTCTTAGTCTTTTGAAATGAAACATCGTTTCCTTTCCCTTTTTTCTTTCTTTCTTTCTTTCTTTTTTTTTTATTTCTTACGTTTGTTAAAACTAAGATTTAAAAAAAGATTATATATATATATATATATATATATATATATATATATATTAAATTCATAATGCGAGTCTTTTTTTATATATTGTATGTAAATAAATAAATAAATAAATAAATAAATAAAATACGATAGTGTATATATATAAAAAGTAAACGCGTAAAAAGAGACGAGATATGATCCAAATAATTCATTTAGGGAGAAATTCTTTTTCAATAGGTTTCCCAGGGTGCTTTACCCCTTAATTTTTCCAATGTTTTAGAATACACTTCCTTTGCAATTTCAGTCAATTCTGGCCATGGATCGGCTTTTGCTAATTCCGCCTCAGCGTCAACTTCCTTATGCATTTCTTTTCGTATTTCCTAATATGATAAGAATTTAAAATCAAATTATAAATGTCAATATTATTATATATCATTAATGTATATATACAATAAAGAGCAAATAGTTTCGGAATAGTTAATTATCTCAGAAAATATTGATATATTATTAGACTTCAGTTACAATAATATGTAATAAAAAATATGAATTTCCATTTAAGATTTTTAAATGGATCTTAATCATGATTTTCAAAGTCATTGCGAGATCAAATAATTATAATCAGTTAATAAATTTTTTTTTAATATCTTACTCTTCTCGTACGAGATATATTTTCATATATTTTTTGAATATATTAATATTTTCTGAGATAATTGCACGTTTCCAAACTTTTATCTCTCACTATATGTATGTATATATACAAAATGATTATTTATTATTTATTTGTTTATTTATATATTTATGTATATATATATATATATATATATATACCTCAACTTCATTTTGAGTTTTCAGTCCATTATCAACGACAAGTTTTGTGAAAAGCAAGATAGGATCTTGTTCACTTTGTACGGATTTAATTTCATCTCTGGTACGATATCCAACACCAGGATCACTCATGCTATGTCCATAATAACGATAAGTTGATACTTCTAAAATGATTGGACCATTATGAATTGCATAATCTCTGGCAAATACTACAGCTTCTCGAACGTTAATCACTTTCATTCCGTCGACCTAGAAAATTATTTACTATTAACAGTGATTTAAATTTTTCATGATTTCAAAGTAATAATTTGTAAAAGATTAATGGGATTATAATTACCTTTATACCAGGTATTAAATCACCTCGAGTGTAGAACTTTGTATTAGCTGAATGACGATGGAGTTGTGTACCCATGGCATATTGATTATTCTCACAGATAAATATGGCCGGGAGATTCCATAATTTGGCCATATTCCATGCCTCGTATATCTGACCTTGAGAGGCTGCACCGTCACCGTATAATGAAATGGATACTCCGTCAATGCCGTTATATTTATGGGCAAATGCAAGACCTGTACCTATTGGTATCTTTTACATATAAAATATTTTTGTTAAGATTCTTTTTTTTTTTTTTTTTTAAGTTAACTTGTAATTAATGGCTGTATAGTCTAATAATTAATCGAAAGAAGAATTAATCGAAATGAAAGAGTAAGAAAGATCGTATCGACTTAAATTTTTTATTCTAATATAAAACGTGATTTATATGAACATTTTGGAGGATAAAGAGAAAAAAAGATTTATTTTTATTAACAACAAAATTTATCCAAGATTACACGAATATAGATATTATGACGTAACATAATTTTTCTTAAATAAAATAATTGCAAAGAAATTACAAAATAAAATGTTTCAAATTGAGGCAAACGAAAATTACATTAAAAAAACAAAAATATTACTCAATAATAAATATGTTATTAAATAATAATGTTCTTTAATCAATAGTAATATTTTTTCTATTAGCCTATTCACCTGTCCACCGACGATTCCTTCACCTCCATAAAATTTTGGTGCGTACATATGCATAGATCCACCTTTGCCTTTGGAAATACCAGTTTTTCGTCCCATTAATTCTGCCATAATTGTACGAGCAGATCCACCGAAAAGCAGAGCGAAAGCATGACAGCGATAAGCTGTTATTAGAGTATCATTGTCCTTTAATGCCATTTTGCAGCCTATTGCAACAGCTTCCTATCAATATTCAACGATGATTATTACATGTATTACTATATTGAACCATATTACGTCATATCACGTTCATCTACTTACTTTTTAATATTAACTCCCTATAATACCATGTAATGACACGAATATTATTATTTAATATTCGAAGTTTTTCATGTTTTTTTAAGTATAAGTTATATGTAGTATAGTATAACTAAGTAAATTTATTGAATAATATAAATAATAATGTATAGTATGTAAAAGAACATTTGTTTAAAAAACCAATAGGATCTTGGAAATATTTGGATATATTTTATAAAATGAGATACCCAGAAAGAGAGTATAGTATTATAATATATAGTATTGTTATATTTAATAATATGTAATAATTCCTTTTGTTCTCTCTTCGAAAAATGGGTCTCAGAACGAAACAAGGGAACAAAAAATTTTAATAAAAAAAAAATGATTCAATTGTTTTGAGCTCACTTGGCCAGCGTATAAATGACAGAATCCATTGATCAGTCGCAACCTGTACATCTCAGCTATTTTATTTTCCATTCTTCGTATATAGTGCATCGTTTTCAAAATATAAGTGGCATCCTCATCATTGAATGTTGCCTTTTGCGGTGGTCCTTTTTCTAATCTATAGAGATCATAACTCTGTAAATAAGCAAAAGAACTCTGTTAATCGAATAGAACAGCTTTGTCGATGGTACGTGCAGTAACGTTATCAACTCAAATAACAATGTCGAGATCTCGAGTAACTCCAATGACCCATTGTGTCAACTCTTAAGATGAAATTATGATTGAATTTAAGATTCGTCAATGACGTAAGCATACCATTTCTACAGTCGCTTCTTTTGCCATACCACAATTGAGCGATAAGAACCATGACTTGACCATAAGTAAACGTATATGTTTTAGAGGATCAAATAACCGGAGATACATATTTCTCTCTTAAATAGATTTCTTATACTTCAAAAATATATCTCCATTAGCAAATAAATATTCGTTATATGCATAGATCAACAATAATTGATCATCCAATTATGAGTATTTATACCATGAAAAAGTTATTTACCAAAATTAGAATTTATCCTCGTTGATTCGTAAAGGATGACAGAGGATCATTTTTCTCTTTTCGGTTTTTTATATTTAAAAAACAGTACTAATAATAATGAGAAGTAATATGCAAATGATATTCCATATATATGTGGATATTTTTTTCGATATATCGAAGGAAATCGATTTTAAAAAGAAATCGTATAGTACTCGAAATACATATATGATAAAATAATATACGATGTTACTGTTTCTCTTAAAATATTTATCTTTCTTCTTCAAATGTCTGATAATATGTCTTAATTTCAATATACGATATACAATAAGTAAAATTTCAATTTGCAATAAGTAAATAATTGCGAACGGTGTAGCTTAGTTTACACAAATTAAATAAAATGTTCCGCGACAAAATACGTCGCTTAGATCGAACTTTTCACATAAAAGTGAAGTATTAATGAGAAATTAATTATTCGATATAGCATGTAATCAAAGCGTGTAAATGTAGACATCTGTATAATTATCGACATCCCTTGTGACTGTTATTGATACCAACAGAATCATAAATGACGAGATTATTATTGAACTAACTATGAATAGCTGTCAGGCAAAGGGATCTCCCTATTTTATTGTATTCTCGACATCCTATGAACGTGATGGATTTCTTTGATGGTCGTCACTACTATGTATTTATAGACACTACGATAATTTTATTTTTCTTAGCTGGAACACAAATTATAACTAAGGTGCAGAATTTTCTTTATATATTATTCGAACAGAAAATCTCACGAAATAGATTAAAATCATTGTTTCTTTTATCATACAAAAATGTTGAGCGCTATATTTAATAAGCAATACAATTAAATTAATTTTTTTTTATTCTCTTTGATTCTTAAACGCAGATATGCGCGACTGTTGCTTCGTTTAAAGAAATAGACGTGTTGTTAGATGATATGTCTCCATTGATTGCCGATTCAGTTGCCACAATACAATTAATAAACACTGCGATGAAAACGGAAAAGGTATTGAACTATTATATGATATTGCTTATAGAGTAAAATTAATTTCAGTATAATATGTTAGATATGTTAGCATTATTGTCGATTTATTTCAATTTAAAAATGAAGGAAAGGCAGATATAACTTATGTTATTATACGATTGAAGTTAATACAAAAGGAAAAATTGTTAACCACAGATGAGAGAACTTCTAAATCGTGTGCAAATAGATTATACTTTATTCACTACAGATGGTGAAATGAAAATCATACTCAAGTATGCTGAAGATGGAAGAAAATTTACTATTGCGTATAGAGGTAATTAATTCAGTTGACAATGATCATAACAAATTTTTTATACGTAATTTTTATACGTAGCAGTTTTTTTTTGTGTAAACTTAATTGTTTCGGGTAGCATGATCGAAACAAGTGAATGAACATTTATAGATCACGTTGAATATTTTGTAGATCGTCGAAGATATTATTATCTTATTATTTTACATTCCCTACGCGGTTACTTTTATCTCTGCTTTTACTATCGCTATTATGGATACAATGATTGTGGTCTCCGTGCAATATGCTTGTCGATTGTTTACAACATTAGGGTAACATTCGATATAAAATCTGTGTAATAATAAGATTATTTTCCTGTTTTTTGTTTCGTTCGAACTTTCTGAGATCTCATCAATTGATTAAATATTTTGAAAAGATCAAAAAATCGAACTCAAAGATTTTGAATGGTCATCGTATGTGATATCAGATGTCTATCATTTGAAATTAAAAAAAATGTATACTTGTAAAGAGGAATTATGTGCTATATCAAGCTATATATATACAATTTATATAATATATAAAAAAACAATATTATTAATAATAATAATAATACGTCGCATCATTTTTATAACATCAACGAATGTAATTTTCTTTTAAAAAAAGTAAGAGAGCGCATAAAAAGAATAAGTCGTCTTTTAGGATTTCTTATTAAATGTTTCGTCAATAGTTCAACTATTTATATTATCTTTCAGATAAATGTATTCATTCACATTGAAAGAGATTTATTGTGTCGAATTGAGGAAAAGTCCTTCTCAGGAAGGAATGCGTGTCTAATTAGTTGAAACTACCGATTGCTGCCACACAACTTGGCATAGACGTTCAAATGTTAAATATTACTTATTAACCGTAATAACAAACGTAAATATGGAAATCCTACAAGTATATATCACTAGAGATTCTACTCTGTTGACTTGAACAGCTTCAAACTTGGAAATGGATGGATTAGACGAAAAATTCCTCTTAACCATGTATCGTTCTGGTGGCAAACTTCTGAACTCTGTACACTACTTATTTACTATCATACTACACTTTGAATATATGCTTATGATTACAGAAATATGATTTACCAAGTCTAAATGCTGATACAACTATTCGCTGACGAGACATAGTAACTGCTAAATGTGTCCTAGCTTATAAAAGAATATTTTCGATGTTTTTCAAGCCAATCACCTGAATAATGCATCAGAAAATAAGAATGAGTTTATCAAAAAATAAGATTAATAAATTTCATTAATGTTTATTCGTTATATCCTTAAAATTCGATCATGTGTCTTGATAGTAACAATATCACTTCTTCTGGCAAATATTCTTCTTTGTATATCAATAACGAGACGACCCTTTCACAATTTTTTAATGCATGATTCTGAGATCAGAATTCAATATCTTACAGAATGTATTTCTATCTAACATTCCTGTCTGAAAAAAATCGAGAAGATATAAAATGCATATCAGCATCTATGCTGTATCTTGAAAAGTCGCTGTTGTAAAATCAATTTGTTTTTTTAAATCAACGCACAAAATATATCCAAGAATAGGTTTAAGATTTAGAATTTAGTACTAGATAAAAAAAAGAAACAAATTTACAAGTAAGATTTAAATCTTGGTTTTTTTTTTATTTAAACAACTTACATCTTAAAACATCGTACACAAGTTCGAATCCCAAAGTCGCATCTTAGCTTCGTTGCCATAACAAGGTTGATTTCCTTCGATATATCGAAGGAAATCGATTTAAGAAAATATTACCCATATAGTACTCGAATCACATATATAATAAAATAATAAAAGATGTTACTGTTTCCCTCAAAATATTTATCTTTCTTCTTTAGTTACCTGATAATATATGCTAACTTTAATTTACAATATAAATAAGTAAATAAATGCTAAAAGTGTAGCTTAGTTCGCACAAATTAAATAAGACGTTCCCGTGACTACGCAACAAAATACATCGCTTAGATCGATCTTTTCACATAAAAGGAAAGTGATTGAGGGATTAATTATTCGTCATAGCATGCAATCGAAGCGTGTAAATTCAGACATCTGTATAATTATCGACATCCCCTATGACTGTTATTGATACCAAGAGAATCATAAATGATGAGATTATTATTGAACTGACTATGAGTAGCTCAGACAGGAAAAGGGGATTTCCTTATTTTAGTGTATTCTCGACATTCTATGAACGTGATGGATTTCTTTGATGGTCGTCACTACGCGATCAATAAAGGCATGCTATCATTATTGGGCCAATGGCCTTATCAATCGATTAGAACAAAATACATCGGTTTGATAATTTTATTCTTCTTAGCTGGAACACAAATTATAGCTAAGGTGCAGAATTTTTTTTGTATATTATTCGAATAGAAAATCTCATGAAATAGATTAAAATCATTGTTTCTTTTATACAAAAATGTTGAGCGCTATATTTAATAAGCAATACAATTAAATTAATTTTTTTTTATTCCCTTTGATTCTTGAACGCAGATATGCGCGATTGTTGCTTCGTTTAACGAAATAGACGTAGTGTTAAATGATATGTCCCCATTGATTGCCGATTCAGTTGCAACAATACAATTAATAAACACTGCGATGAAAACGGAAAAGGTATTGAACTATTATATGATATTGCTTATAGAGTAAAATTAATTTCAGTATAATATATTAGATATGCTAGCATTATTGTCGATTTATTTCAATTTAAAAATGAAGGAAAGGCAGACATAACTTATGTTATTATACGATTGAAGTTAATACAAAAGGGAAAATTGTTAACCACAGATGAGAGAACTTCTAAATCGTGTGCAAATAGATTATGCTTTCTTCACTACAGATGGTGAAATGAAAATCATACTCGAGTATGCCGAGAATGGAAGAAAATTTACTATTATTTATATAGGTAATTAAAAATTTAAGAAAATTTTCATAGAATATATATATGTTCACCTTATATATTCTTAATGTTCAAACATCTGTATTTTTGCAGGTTTTTTTCTGGTGTCAATGCTTATTTTTATAATTCCACCATTGAGAGCTATTAGCATGAGTAGCATAAACGGTACGATAGAACGACCATTTATTCATCACGTTGAATATTTTGTTGACTCTCAAACATTTTATTATCCTATTATATTACACTCTTGCGTAACTATCTTTATCTGTGTTTACATAATCGTTACCGTCGACACAATGTTTGTGCTATTGGTGCAACATGCTTGTGCATTGTTTAAAGCATTAGGGTAAAATACTATTGTTTCATACAAAAGCTATGAAAATGCATATATATATATACATATATATATATATATATATATATATATATATATATACATATATAAATATTGTTACAAATATTATATTACAGATATCGACTACACTATATAACCGAAAATGGTGACGATATTATGGTGATAGATTTAAATCCTTCAAAATCAAATGATAAATCTTATCAGAATATTTCCGAATGCGTTCGTAGACATCGAGATGCAATAGAGTTTGTAATATTTTATTTTAATCATTTCAATTAATTAGGTATTATCTAAGAAAAATGAAAATGTTGATTGTTCACATTTATTAAACGTGTTTGATCCTTATATGAAGGTTTGCCAATCTTTTGGAATCCTATTATTCTACGTCCCTTTTTCTCCAAGCAGGATTCAACATGATTGAACTAAGTATCACAGTCTTTCAGGTATTGAATCAAGTTTCTATGTTTTTAGGCAATCAATATGCAATTCTGACGAAAACTTATGTTTAGGCTACGATAAGTGTGAACGAAACTAATGAGCTTTTCCAACAAGTGTCTGTTTGTTACTCGACATTAACTCACATCTTGTTTCAATGTGTAAACGGTCAACGTGTTATCGATCACAGCGATCAAATGCACGAGCATCTGTAAGTAGATATATTTTATAATTCGATCGTTTTATATAGCTTTAATTTTTCAATTTTTTTTATTTTTTTTTTTTTATTAGTACATAAGTTGCTTCGACATATAGACACAAAATGTTTAAGGAAAATGAAAAAGAAGTTATCATTAATTTTCATGGATTACAGAATAAATATGAAGTGGTATCATACATCATTACGCACAAGAAAAGTGATTTATCTCATGCTAATTAGATCACGAGTATATTGTGTGCTAACTGCTGCAAAAATGTTTAACATGTCTATGGAAACATTCAGTACTGTAAGAATCGTTATTTCTTAGAAATCTTGTATTAACATATATACATAATAACATCATCTCTTCTCTTTTCAAGATTGTACGCACGTCAATATCATATTTCACCGTTTTACGCTCGGCTTAATAATTTCGTAATTGACACATTGTTTAATTTTTTATGGAATCTTATGATAAATCATAAAATTATATTTTAGAAAAATAATATAGTTAAATATTAATGCGACATTCCTAGTTTTTATTTATAAATTTCCAAATTTATTTTATGTTTTCTTATCTAAATAAACACTTTAATTGTAAGTAAAATAATGTTTAGTAAAATTAGAATAATATACATTAATAAATAATAATGATTACTAAAAATAATAATCTTTGACCTGTAACAGACTTAAATTATATACACTTTCATAACTCCAATTTAAATTATTTATTTTTAATTTATTGAGTATAAAAGTACCTATCTTTCAATTATCTTTGTACGATATGTTAAATGAATACAAACTTCTTTTCCATTATAATTGTTAACTTCCTGATCAATATCACCATTTACTGCAATGAATTGACTTTTATATAATAAATAAATAAGTAAATAATTGCTAGCCGCTACTTCGCTCAAATCAAATAGGGATATTTCCTTTGTGACTGAACGCCTAAATAAGTCACAAAGATCGATAATCTCACGTGAAACGAAAATGACTAAACAATTAATTATTCGTTATAGACAAGCATGTAATTATCGATATCTTTTGCGACTCTTATTGATAACAAGAGAATTCTAAATGAGATAGTTACGAGTAATTCCGTGAAGAAAAGTGGTTCTCGAACTGGCGGTGTATTCTCGATACTCTACCAACATCATGGATTTCTTTGATCATTATCATTTCATATTGAACAAAACAATGTTACGCATCTTAGGTCAATGGCCTTATCAATCATTTAGAATAAAATGCATTAGTTATATATTTCTATTCATATTTGGTGCAACACAAATTATAGCTAAAGTGCAGTATTATCCATGTACATATATTATTTGATTAGAAAATCTCATAAGATAGATTTGAATCACTTTTTTGTCGTATACTTATGAACATTATATCTAATGATCACTTTAATATATTTGAGATTTTCTATTTTTTTCGCTTCTTTTCAGTTGTGCGCTATCATTACTTCACATGATAATTTAAACGTTGTACTAGAGGACTTAGTATATATACTATTTTCCAATTTTTCTTCAGCAATTAAAATAATTAATGTTGGAGTTCAAAGGGAAAAGGTATATAGTTAACGTATGTCATTATTTTTCAAAGAAAATTTGTCTTTTTTTGTCATAAATTTGTAACTTAACAAAATAATTGTGAGTAACATTGTTAATATTACTTTTTTGGAATATTGTATGAAAATGAAAGAAAAATATATATTAACTAGTATACTATTGAAGTAAATGTATCATAAACTTCTACATAAGAAATTATTAACTATAGGTGAAAACAATTTTAAATCGTATAGAAGCGGATTATAGTTTTTTCACTACAAATTGTGAAAAGGAAATTATATCGAAATATGCCGAAAATGGGAGAAAATTTACTATTTACTGTACAGGTAATTAGTGTATTTTAAAATGCCTATAACAAATTTTTTATACATCATGTATATGTGTCTTTCCGCAGTTACTTTTACTATGGCAATGCTACATTTAATGATTGCACCACTGAAGGGAATTTTTGGTAGGGTGAACGACACGAGTAAACGACCAATGTTACATCACGTTGAATATTTTGTAGATACTCAGAAATATTATTATTTGATTATTTTCCAAACTTACGTTATTTATTTTATCGTTTGTTTCTCGTTTGCTATGGTGGACACATTGTTTGTGGTTTTCGTGCAGCATAATGGTGGATTATTTAAAACATTAGGGTAAAGTCCGTGATGTTCGATATATAATCTATATGATAATTAAGTATTATAATAAAAAGAATTATCACAGGTATCGACTTTTTCATTTAATTGATGAAAAAGTCTTAGATGATGATGTCTTAAATCCTTCGAAATCAGGAGATAAATACTATAAAGATATTTCCTTATATGCCCTGAGACATCAGAAAGCAATAGAGTGTGTAATTTTCTAATATTTTCATTTAAAAAATTTTTATATTATTTATTCATGAAATAAAAATTTGGAATTATTAAGAATTTTGACATTTTCTATAAAGGTTTGCTGAATTATTGGATTCATTTTATTCCAAAACCTTCTTTATGATATCAGGACTTAGTATGCTTCGAATAAGTGTTACTGGTCTGAAGGTGTATATTCAAATTTTATTTTTTAATAATCAATTGGTCATCTCTAACTATAGATGACCTTTCTGCAACACGATTCAATTATACAGTCTTATAAGAAATTACATATATCAGTTTTGTTTTATATGGAAACAATACTATATGATACTTCAAAATTCCATAGGAAATTTTATGTGAAATTTGACGTGCTAAATTAAAACAATATTAGCGATCAAAAAATATACATTAATTTAAAATTCAAATATAATATGAAAGAAAATCGAGAATTTAGAAAAAAATTACAAAAAACAAAATTTATCCATATTTCTTTACGCTAATGTTCGTAATAAAGCAATACTCATAATATCAATGATTGCATTATACCATTACTATTAATTGTTCTGTAGAATGCTTTTTATAGTCTGTGTATTGAACGATTCATGTCAATTTTCCTACTGCATCGTATTAATATTGCGCTCCTAGAGTATTGTGTTATATGATATTTCAAAATTAACGTGTTACATAAAATCGTGTTCATAGAGTATCGTGTTATAAGAGGTTTGCCTATGCACTATAATATCATATTTTAAGGCTGTAATAAATGTCAACAATCTTAAACGATTTATTCAAGACATGTTTATTTGTTACACGGCTTTAATTCATGTCTACTTTGAATGTATGAACGGTCAACGACTTATCATAGTAGTGAAATGCACGAACATCTGTAAGTATTTAAAAATATTTATGCACTCGTTGTTTTTAAATGATTGAGTACTGTCAAGTTTATTTCTGATTAGATATTAATTTGATAGATAAAATCTTTCAGAGAATGCGGATAAAAAATAATTATTGTAATTTTTATCGATTACAGAATAAATACCGAGTGGTATTGTACATCTTTACGAACAAGAAAAGTAACCACTTTGATGACACTTAGATCATTGAAACCTTCTATACTAACAGCTGCAGGAATATTAAATATATCATTGAAAACTTTTTGCTCTGTAAGAATTATTATTTTTTATAATTTTATATAAATATGTTTTCGTACTAATTTGATTTTTATTGTTTAAGATTGTTCGTACCTCGATTTCATACTTCACTGTTATGCGATCTTTTCAATGAAAATTTGAAATATAGAATTCTATCACTAATTGCTAAGATACAAAATAACACATCCACCCACCAATTAATTTAAAAAAAATAGTATTGTCAAGAATTTGTGTATAGTTATCTCTATAAAATTTCCAAAATACTTTTTTAATTTTCTATATCTTTACATATGTATATTGTTAGAAGCCTCAATGGAATAAAACTGAAATTAACAAAAAAGAGTAATAATTATCATTACATCATAATTTTCGATTTTTACAAAATTCAAATATAATTTAAATCCAAATATTTTCAGTGTTGACTTAAATTATAACAACCAGTCATAGACAGTGCAAAAGTATTAAATCCGAAATAATTAAATCCTATCCATTTATTATATACAATAAGCACAAACATCTTTTGCTCTATCGTTTACTTTTGGATTAATATAACTAATTAATAAAATGGATTGATTTCGAAACACAATGTATTTAAGCAAATAATACTTGACAGAGCATATTATTTCATATAAATGAAATAAGTTCTTCCTTCTGACTAAACGACAAAATACGTCGCTTAGATCGATAATTTCACATAAAAGGGAAATGACTGACGAATTAATTATTGTATCTTGAAAAGTTGCTGTTGTAAAATCAATTTTTTTTTAAATCAACGCGCAAAATATATCCAAGAATAGGTTTAAGATTTAGAATTTAGTACTGGATAAAAAAAACAAACAAATTTACAAGTAAGATTTAAATATTGGTTCTTTTTCTATTTAAACAACTTACATTTTAAAACATCGTACACAAGTTCGAATCCCAAAGTCGCATCTCAGCTTCGTTGCCATTCGATATATCGAAGGAAATCGATTTAAGAAAATATTACCCATATAGTACTCGAAACACATATATAATAAAATAATAAACGATGTTACTGTTTCCCTCAAAACATTTATCTTTCCTCTTTAGTTGCCTGATAATATGTGCTAACTTTAATTTACAATATAAATAAGTAAATAAATGCTAAAAGTGTAGCTTAGTTCGCACAAATTAAATAAGACGTTCCCGTGACTACGCAACAAAATACATCGCTTAAATCGATCTTTTCACATAAAAGGAAAGTGATTGAGGGATTAATTATTCGTCATAGCATGCAATCGAAGCGTGTAAATCCAGACATCTGTATAATTATCGACATCCCTTATGACTGTTATTGATACCAAGAGAATCATAAATGATGAGATTATTATTGAACTGGCTATGAGTAGCTCAGACAGGCAAAGGCAAAATTTCCCTATTTTAGTGTATTCTCGACATTCTATGAACGTGATGGATTTCTTTGATGGTCGTCACTACGCGATTAATAAACGTATGCTATCATTATTGGGCCAATGGCCTTATCAATCGATTAGAACAAAATACGTTCGTTTGGTGATTTTACTTTTATTACTTGGGACACAAATGTTAGCTAAGGTGAAGTATTTTTTATGTTCTGGTATTATTAGAATAGAAAATTTTATGAAATAGATTAGGATCACTTATTCTTTATCCTATAATATTATAAATGTTATTTTAAATGAGCACTTAATGAGTTCCTCATTTTTCGTTCTCTTTACTACAGGTAGCAGCTACCATAATTTCCTTTAGAGATAGAAATGTAGTACTAAACGACATGGCACCACTTATTGCTGATTCTACCGCAGTAATCAGATTAATTAACGTAACAGTAAAAAAAGAAAAGGTAATTATTGCATACCGTTATTCAAATAAACTATATTTCTTTTTTTTTTGTCATATTTGTGTGACGTAGTGAAATAACTGTGAGTAGCTTTGTTAGTATTATTCATCCAAATTTTGTGTGAAAATAAAAGAAAAATATATAATACCTATTGTGCTATTGAAATAAATATATGGCAAATGTCTTAATAAAAAATTGTTAATCGCAGATGAAAATACTTCTAAATCGTATGCAAACAGATTATGCTTTATTCGCTGATGATGAAATGAAAATAATGATGGAATATGCCGAGAATGGAAGAAAATTTAGTATTGTGTATATAGGTAATTAATTCAGTTGAAAATAACAAATTTTTTATCTGTATGGTTTATGCATGCCTTTTCGTAGGAGTTTTTTTTGTATCAATGCTACAATTTATGATTCCACCACTAAAGTCAATCATCTTGAGTAACATGAACGGATCGAGCGAACGACCATTGATACATCACGTTGAATATTTTGTAGATTCTCAAAGATATTATTATCTTATTATTTTACATTCTTACGCGGTTATATTTATCTGTGTTTTTACTATCGCTACTATGGACACAATGTTTGTGGTTTTCGTGCAACATGCTTGTGGATTGTTTACAGCAATAGGGTAAAATCTTTAATATTCGATGTAGGTTAAAATCTTTGACTGTATAATAACAATATTATAAAAATTTATAATAAATGAAGTATTTAAAAATATTTTATTATATGATAATAAATTATTGATACAGGCATAACTATTGTAGGTATCAACTTCGTCATATAGTCGACAATAATATTTTGTTGATAAATTTAAATCCTTCGAAATCGAATGATAAGTTTTATACAAATATTTCTAAATGCATTCATAGACACCAAGAAGCTATACAGTTTGTAATTTTACAATATTTCCATTTTAAAAAAAATTTATATTATTTATTAACTGAAATGATGATGAAATAATAATTTGGAGTTATTAAGATTATTGACTTTTTCTATAAAGGTTTGCTAATCTATTGGATAAATATTATTCAACGTCGTTTTTTCTCGTATCAGGAATTAGCATGATTGGTATGAGTATTACTGGGCTACAGGTATACAACTAAACTTTCTTATTCGCAGTAATCAATTTGTCTTTTTCAAACTACAAACAACCCTCTTGTAACATAATTCATTCGTACAATATAATTCATACAGCATAATGAGAAATTACTAAGTATTTAAGTAATTAAGAATTTTTTTGTCAATTTTTCTATTTTGTTATGTAAAAATTGCCTTCTCGAAGTAACTTGTTACAAGAGGGTATTTCGAAATTTTTCTAACATATACCAAGTATAATTTTTTCTAAGTATCATGTTATGAAAGATTTGTATATATTATAATATCTAAATATATTATAATAATATTTAGGCTATACTAAATATCAACAAACCCAAACAATTTTTTCAACAAATGTGTGTTTGTTATACGACATTAATTCATGTCTTGTTTGAATGTGTAAACGGTCAACGACTTATCGATCATAGTAGTCAAATGCACGAATATTTGTAAGTTGAATGTTTGATTTAATAGTTTCGAGTTTATTTTGAATTAGGAATTAACTTGGTAGATAAAATATTTTACAGATAAGGATAAAAAATGATTACTATAATTTTCATCGATTACAGAATAAATACCGAATGGTATCGAACATCATTACGAACAAGAAAAGGAATCTGTTTTATGTTACTTAGATCACAAAAATCTTGTACGATAACTGCTGCAAAAATGTTCAACATATCTATTGAAACGTTTACCTCTGTAAGAATCATTATTATTTATGATTTTATCTAAACATATTTACGTACTAATTCGATTTCTTTTGTTCAAGATTGTTCGTACATCGATTTCATATTTTACTGTTTTGCGTTCGATACAGTAAAATTTTGATAAATAACATTTTATGCAATCATACATAGATTATTAATATGCGGAGTAACACAAATTATATTAATAAATAATTAAACAGCTATATATACAAATAACATATATTTTGACAAATTATATGCCACAAATTTTTAATTTTTTCTAGATATAGTTTTTTTTCTAGAAATTTCCAAACTCTTCTTTTATTTTATGTACTAGTATAGTTAAGAATATCAATCAATTGTTGTGTAAAAATTTATTTTTAATTTCTATAAAATTCAAATGACATAGTAGACATTTTTTATTTAAATTTTAAAAGTCGGTCAAAACAGTAAGAAAATTCTTAGAGATATCTTCATATATAAATAACACGAAGTTGTATAATTCCGAAAACGACAACTTCAACGATTTTCAGTCAACATCACTTTCTGCTTTGTATTTTAGGCTTTTGAAATTTGATTCATTATATTCGCAAGGAAAAATTTGTCTTAATCTTTTATTTTTACCACTTATTTGCAACAATGTTTCTCGATTAAAAAGCTAATTGTAAAAGAAAAAAAAAAAAGAAAAAAAAATATAAGAAAAATAGAAAAATATATAAGCAAAATGAATTTTGATTATGATATAAACAAAAAGGTTTTAAATTTGGAGAGCTTGGGTTGAAAGATTTGTTACGAAATCTTCAAAGGGGACGAATTATACTCTCTCGAGAAGCCAAATCCCTTTTACGTGAATTTGAACGAGAAGAAACACAACGAGATCATATTAAAAATAAGGTGGTCTTAAAATAAAATCATTCAAATTATTCGATTATGAAATTTTACGATTCTAACAACATACATATTTCATAGAAAGATGATAATAAACCTTGTAGTTGTGCAATTTGGAAAAATGATATAAGAAAAGAGGATAAAAATGAGACCGAAGGACCTACGAAATTGATCACGCAAGATGAAATATTCTATAAAAATTTCTACAATGAATGTTGTCAACATTGCGTTCCAAGATATGACAGCAATATGATATTACAAACTTACAGGTACAATGATTCATTCATCAACTATATTTTCTCTTCTTCTTTTTTGTTGTTTTTTTCATTTTATTATATTCAATGATACTCTTCTCTTAATTGTTTTCAGATACGATGAACCATTTTACTGTGATCATGCTTTAAAAAATATCGATTATTCTTGCATCGGTGATAATGTTATGATTAAAGACGATGCCAATGGTGATAATAATTTTAATGGTATCGATGAGTTAGGCAAATATATAACTAAACATGTACAATTAATCCTTCGTATTTCTATAACTTATGCGTGTTTTGCGATGATGATAATATGGAAGATATGCATGTGTTATCGACCAATCATAAAATTAGTGATTGAAAATAAATGATTTAAAAAAAAAAATTCATGATGATTTACTTACCGTTCGATATTTTCGAAGGATGACTTTATCCTTAATGGAAGTTAAAGTTGACGATATCTGATCGTTCTTGGTTTTTCTTGTTTGTTTATTTTTTTTGTTCGAACTTCGTGAGATCTCATCAATTGATTGAAGTTTTTGAAAAGATCGAAGAATCGAACCCAAAGGTTTTGAAAGATCATCGCAGTTGATATCGGATGTCTATCATTTGAAATTAGAAAAATATATACTTGTAAAGAGGAATTATGTGCTATGTCAAACTATGTGTATATGTGCATATCAATATGTATTTGTAAGATTAAAAAAAGTAATATGTCGTTTTTTCTGCGCTATGTCAAGCCATGAATATGCAATTTATATAATATATAAAAAAACAATAATGATGATAATAATAATAATAATAATAATAACATGTCGCATCATTTTTATAACATCAACGAATGTAATTTTCTTTTACGAAAAGTTAGAGAACACGTAAATAGCAAAATACGTCTTTTAGGAATTCTCATTAAATCCCTATCTTTCTTCGATTTCGACAAAACAATATTTCTTTTATGCGAAGTATAAATAAATAAAGTATAAAAAAATTTCAGCGATGTAACGTGAGGTTAATTTCTTGGATATCGTGACACAATATTACCTCTAACAAGCGATACTTGGTGCAATATCTCATGCGATGTCTTATATTTTATACAAAATCAATTTAAAAATATCAGCTAGTTACGAAGGTTTCCGTAATTATTTACATAAACATACAGGCACATCGCTAGAGAAGCATGAGCTTCTTGATTATCAAATTACTTAATGATTTAAAAGCAATACCTTATATCTTATAGACGTACTACGTAGAATCTTTTTTTGAGTGTACGCATATGATTACGAAGGATGATTTCTGATCGATAAAACAAAACGATTTTTCTAGTTTTCCATAACACTCAAACAAATCATCTAAATAATGGATTGAGAAATGATGCGTTAAAATTATAAGATTATCCATAAAAAGAAATTATTATATTAATTATATTATTATTATTAATTATATTAATATTATTAATATTATTATTAATATTATTATTAATTATATTATTATAATTATATTTATTATCCATAAAAAGAAATATTAATATTAATTTATTATTTCTTGAGAATACAGTCGCATCTTGCTATTGACAAATCCATGATATCTACTCATTGTATTAAACTGCTAATCACCAGTTCATTATTATTCGGTCCTTTTATGCATGATTTTGAACACAGAATCTAACGTTATGTAGAATTTATGTTTAGAATTTAGCTAAAAAATCATATACATATATATAAAATAATTATGAATAGATGCAATTATATGTATATACATATATCTCATTACATCGCTTACAAAGAGAGGACCAGTAATATTTTTCCCAGTCATTATATCTTTCATATCAAGTAAATCTAAATAATTATATAAAATGGCTAAAAATAGCGATGTAGAGTCTTCATAATTTCTTTAAAAAATCCATGCAATGTCAAAATTTAAAGAATAATTCTGTAACTGTATAGACATAATGTATAAAATATTGAAATTTTTCAATATGTAAAGAAAAAGGTAAATAAATATTTTCCCAGAATAACGATATTAAATATTTTAATAATCAATTTTATGATTTGGTTTAATATTTTATTTTTAGTTGATATAAATTTTATTATTTTTTTTTATTTTTAATTAAAATTAATTTTCCTGACAAGTTATTATTCAATATATTTTTTATTATATACATATACATCTATATATACATATACATACTTATATTATACTATAGTTTTTTATATGATAATAAGAATATATCCATCTTTTTTATTTAAAAAGTAAAATATTAAGCACAAATCATAAGTTATAATAGTTTTAATATAAAAAATACCCACAATTGGACATTATATAAATATTAATTTAAATATTATATAAGAAGGCTATTGCATGGTATACGTTCGTATCTTATATGTCATATTTTATCATATTTTATTTCTTACAAATCATGTACCCGTATATAGTCCTTAAAATGTAACTATATAATATAACTTATATAACTTATATATAATTTTAATAACTCTTATATAACATTTATACAACTATATAATAGTCTTATATAATACTCTTGAATAATTTTATTTAACGTTCATCATTATTCTCATCGAATGTTTGCAACAAAAAATAATATGATAAGGACGTATTAAGTATCTAAAAATAAAAATCCAAAAATGGTTAGTCGAATAGGAATTAAAAATGATATGTAATTTGTAATAGCAATATTTACCTTCATGAAAAGATCCAATGAAATAAAAAAGAGGTGACATGCTGTCAGTACAATTGGTTTCTGTACCAATATGATAAGAACAACCTTCATGAGTTCACTGTTTCCGTCTTGGTACCATCCACAGCTATAAATACTTCGTTGAAATCCTTCACTCTGTATATATAAAAAAAAATTGATATTAATACAATGAGAAAGAGTTAGAAAGAGAAGAATTACTCGAAAGAGTAGAAGAAATTATTCGAAATGATGAATACCTCAACATCAAGAATACTTCCATACCAAGGATACAAAAATGCTTGAGACATTTTCATCATCCCATAAATAAGAAATAGAAGAGTTTTACCTATACTTATTTCTGTCTTTTCAATGAAAAATATGTTAAGTTATTATAGCGAAATGCTAATATGAAAAATAATATTTTTAATTCGCCACTAATTGATTAAAAGAAAGAAGAAAAGGATTGAAGAAAATGTTAATATTATCGATGAAGATCGTTTATATTATGAAGTATTAAATAAAATATATATCAATATCGAAATTATATATAAAGATAATTATTATACCTCAAACATTTGAAATATCAGCGCACATAGGACAATAACACTGCTCACTATTAAGCATAGCACAACTGGTCCATAAACATTCTGAATGATATCACGACAACGTAAAAGTAAGATCTGTCTTTTAATGCAGTTACGTAGAATGACATCGAGCTCCTTAGATGATTTTCCAAGATGCTCGCATTCGAAACACATGGCACGTAGAACTCCACTCATTTGAAATATGTAAAATCCGTAAACCGTATCGACGGCGCTGGTCACAGAAATCACGAACCAACCAAATATAATTTCGAAAAGAAATTGCGCTTGAAAAACCATATTCGGAGTTCCATCGATCCATGGAAAAGTAGCAGGATAGGGAAGAACATAATGTTTGGGACTGACGTTCTTGATAACTTGATAGACGATCAATAAAAACGGTCTAAATAAATACAGTAGTATTACAAACATGGTCAAATAGTAAACAATATATGCAGGACGTTTAAAAAGATTTAGCAATGACAATATAACAGGTCGATAATGTGTTTTTTTAAGCATTTCTTCGAACATCGATTCGAGATTCATATTCAATTCGTGTAATTGCTCTCGATATAAAAAGAACATCAGTGCCTGACAAAAAATTCAATATAATTCTCATTATTTCACATTGACGATCAAATATCTAACATACCTTTACAGCTACTAAAGCAAAACTTCCTAAAGGACTGAGTCCTTTCGTTAATACTTTTATATTATCAAGATTTTCTAGACAGAATTTCAATGAACCAAAAAACATAAAGGTTCCAGATAATACAGTGAAAATTGGTAAATATCGATAGAAACAAGAGCTCCCCGTATTTTCCACAGGCCATAAACCGACACATAACAGTATACGTTTTATAAAACACTCATATTTTCGATACATTGCCAGTTGTTCTGCCATCATCGAATGAGAAAAGATCAGTGATATAACGTGCGTTCAATGCCTCGTATATCGTGACAGAGTATCGCTTATAACAAGCGAAACTTGATACGATATCACATGCGATTTCTTAAAGATACATTTCCTACTCACTTCGATCCGCACATTCGTCATTTATGCGATCAATTTGGAAATATCGGATAGTTACAAAGTTTTACGTAACTCTTTAGGTAAATGTATGGTTGAATCGAAGATTGCTGGAGAAGCAAACGGTACTTTCTCATTAAGTTGCTCGATGATTTACAAGTAATACCCATATAGGCATACCTTATAGACGTAATACATGAAATATCTTTTTGAAAATAAATATATAAATCATAATGACAGATGAAACATCGTTGACAACAATAATTGTATACTATTGATGATAAATAATACATAACTAACAAAAAAAAATTCTTTCATTTCTACTTATTATATCATCTAACTAATGAAATGATTAATTGATAATTGAATAATATTTAAATAACATCTACAAAGTTCTATTGTTATAGTGATATACGTAAAAATTTCTAGCTAATAAATTTCTAATTAATATGCATTCATTTCTTCGAATGTTTGTAATAAAAAATTATACGATATTGATGTATTGATAATCTAAAAAATGAATCATATATAATCTTGAACATATTTTATAATTTACATCACATATAAGATCATAAATACGAAAGATATTTAAATAAATCTTATAAAATGAGATACCCAGAAAGACTATAATATTATAATATATAGTATTGTGATATTAAATAATGTGATAATACTGATTCTAATATAATCCCTTTTGTTCTCTCTTCGAAAAAGAAATTGCTTCGAATTCACTTGACCAGAGTATAAATGAAAGAATCCATTGATCAGTTGCAACCTGCACATATCAGCTATTTTTTTTTTCCATTCTTCGTATAAAGTTTTCAAAATATAATTGGCACCTTCACCGTTCAACGCATCTTCTTGCAGTGAGCATTTCACTAATTTGTAAAGATCATAATTCTGTAAAAAAGCAAAAGATCTCTCTTAATCGGATCGAACAGCTTTGTCAATGGCACGTGCATTAACGTTATCAATCCAAATAACAATGTCGAGATCTCGAATAATCATCTTGATCCATTGTTTCAACACTTAATGAAATTATGATTGAATTTAAGATTCGTCAATGACGTAAGCATACCATTTTTACAATTGCTTCTTTTGCCATACCACAATTGAGTAATAAAAACCATGATTTGATTACAGGTAAACATATATGTTTTAGACGATTACACAACCGGAGATGCATATTTCTCTCTTAATCAGATTTATTATATTATAAAAGTATAACTTCATTGACAAATGAATACTTGTTATATGCATAGATCGACAATAACTGATCACCCAACTGTGAGTATTTATACCATGTAAAAGCTGTTAAAGTTAGAATTTATTTTCGTTGATTCTTGGAGGCTATTAGAGGATCACTTTTTGTCTTTTCGGTGTTTTATATTAAAAGAACAGTACTAATAATAATAAGAAGTAATGTACAAATTATGTTTCGCATATATGTGGATATTTTTTTTCGATATATCGAAGGAAAAAGAAATCAGCCATATAGTACTCGAAATACGTATATGATAAAATAATACACGATGTTACTGTTTCTCTTAAAATATTTATCTTTCTTCTTTAAATGCCTGATAATATGTCTTAATTTCAATTAATGATATACAATAAATAAAATTTCAAATTACATAATAAGTAAATAATTGCGAACAGTGTAGCTTAGTTCACACAAATTAAATAAGATGTTCCGCGACAAAATACGTTGCTTAGATCGATCTTTTCACATAAAAAGAAAGTGATTGAGAGATTAATTATTCGTCATAGCATGCAATCAAAGCGTGTAAACCTAGACATCTGTATAATTATCGACATCCCCTGTGACTGTTATTGATTGTTATTGACCAAGAGAATCATAGATGATGAGATTATTATTGAACTGACTATGACTATGACTGACTAGCTCAGACAGGCAAAGAGGATTTCCCTATTTTAGTGTATTCTCGACTTTCTATGAACGTGATGGATTTCTTTGATGGTCGTCACTACGCGATTAATAAAGGCATGCTATCATTATTGGGCCAATGGCCTTATCAATCGATTAGAACAAAATACATCGGTTTGATAATTTTATTCTTCTTAGCTGGAACACAAATTATAGCTAAGGTGCAGAATTTTTTTTGTATATTATTCGAATAGAAAATCTCATGAAATAGATTAAAATCATCGTTTCTTTTATACAAAAATGTTGAGCGCTATATTTAATAAGCAATACAATTAAATTAATTTTTTTTTATTCTCTTTGATTCTTAAACGCAGATATGCGCGACTGTTGCTTCGTTTAAAGAAATAGACGTGTTGTTAGATGATATGTCTCCATTGATTGCCGATTCAGTTGCCACAATACAATTAATAAACACTGCGATGAAAACGGAAAAGGTATTGAACTATTATATGATATTGCTTATAGAGTAAAATTAATTTCAGTATAATATATTAGATATGTTAGCATTATTGTCGATTTATTTCAATTTAAAAATGAAGGAAAGGCAGATATAACTTATGTTATTATACGATTGAAGTTAATACAAAAGGAAAAATTATTAACCACAGATGAGAGAACTTCTAAATCGTGTGCAAATAGATTATACTTTATTCACTACAGATGGTGAAATGAAAATCATACTCAAGTATGCTGAAGATGGAAGAAAATTTACTATTACTTATATAGGTAATTAAAAATTTCAGAAAATTTTGATAGAATATATTTTCATCTTATATATTCTTAATGTTCATACATCTGTATTTTTGCAGGTTTTTTTCTGGTATCAATGCTTTTATTTATGATTCCACCATTGAGAACTATTAGTATGATTAGCATAAACGATACCATAGAACGACCATTTGTTCATCACGTTGAATATTTTGTTGACTCTCAAACATTTTATTGTCCTATTATATTACACTCTTGCATAGTTATCTTTATCTGTGTTTACGTATTCTTTACCGTCGACACAATGTTTGTGCTATTGGTGCAACATGCTTGTGCATTGTTTAAAGCATTAGGGTAAAATACTAACGTTTGATACAAAAGCTATGAAAATGCATATATTTATATACATATATAAATATTGTTACAAATATTATATTACAGATATCGACTACACTATATAACCGAAAATGATGATGATATTATGATGATAGACTTGAATCCTTCAAAATCAAATGATAAATTTTATCAGAATATTTCCGAATGCGTTCGTAGACATCGAGATGCAATAGAGTTTGTAATATTTTATTTTAATCATTTCAATTAATTAGGTATTATCTAAGAAAAATGAAAATGTTGATTGTTCACGTTTATTAAAAGTGTTTGATCCTTATATGAAGGTTTGCCAATCTTTTGGAATCCTATTATTCTACGTCCCTTTTTCTCCAAACAGGATTCAACATGATTGAAATAAGTATCACAGTCTTTCAGGTATAGAATCAAGTTTCTATGTTTTTAGGCAATCAATATGCAATTCTGACGAAAACTTATGTTTAGGCTACGATAAATGCGAAGGAAACTAAAGAGATTTTTCAACATGTGTCTATTTGTTATTCGACATTAACTCACATCTTGTTTCAATGTGTAAACGGTCAACGTGTTATTGATCACAGTGATCAAATGAACGAGCATCTGTAAGTAGATATATTTTATAATTCGATTATTTTATATAGCTTTAATTTTTCAATTTTTTTTATTTTTTTTTTTTTATTAGTATATAAGTTGCTTCGACATGTAGACACAAAATGTTTAAGGAAAATGAAAAAGAAGTTATCATTAATTTTTGTGGATTACAGAATAAATATGAAGTGGTATCATACATCATTACGCACAAGAAAAGTGATTTATCTCATGCTAATTAGATCACGAGAATATTGTGTGCTAACTGCTGCAAAAATGTTTAACATATCTATGGAAACATTCAGTACTGTAAGAATCATTGTTTCTTAGAAATCTTGTATTAACATATATACATAATAACATCATCTCTTCTCTTTTCAAGATTGTACGCACGTCAATATCATATTTCACCGTTTTACGCTCGGCTTAATAATTTCGTAAATGACACATTGTTTAATTTTTTATGGAATTTTATGATAAATCATAAAATTATATTTTAGAAAAATAATATAGTAAAATATTAATGAGACATTCCTGGTTTTTATTTATAAACTTCCAAATTTATTTCATGGTTTCTTTTCTTGGTATATATTTTAATTGTAAGTAAAATAAGATTCAGTAAAATTAGAATAGTGCACAATAATTATTACTAAAAATAATAATCTTGGACTTGTAACAAATTTAAATTATGTACACTTTCATAACTCCAATTTAAATCATTTATTCTGAATTATTAAGTGTAAATCTGTCGATCTTCCAATTCTCTTCATACGATATATATAATAAATGCAAACATCTTTTCCATAACTATCATTAACTTACGGATCAATATCTCCAACTACTGCAATGAATTGAATTTGACATACTAAATAAATATGAAAATAATTTGTTAGCAGCTTATGTCGAACAAATCAAATTAGGACATTATTTTCTCTAACTGAACAACTAAATATGTCGCATAGACAGATAATTTCAAGTAAAAAGGAAATGGCGATAAGGAATAAATTATTCATCATAGAGAAAAGTATAAATGCAGACGTTTATATAATTTCAACATTTCTTGCGATTCTTATTGATACCAAGAGAATTCTAAATGACAAGTCTATGAATAATTCCGTAAAGAGAATAGGTTCCGGAACTGCCAGTATATTCTCGACACACTACGAACATCATGGATTTCTTTGATCATCGTCATTTCGTGTTGAATAAAACAATGTTACGCATCTTAGGTCAATGGCCTTATCAATCGTTTAGAACAAAATGCACAAGTCTTGCACTTCTATTTATACTTGGTGCAACACAAATTGTAGCTAAGGTGCAGTATTATCCGTGTACATATATTATTTGATTAGAAAATCTTACAAGATAAATTTGGATCACTTTTTTATCGTATGCAATTACGAACGCTATATCTAATGGGCATTTTAATGTATTTGAGTTGTTTATTTTCTACGCTTCTTTATTACAGTTTTGTGCTATCTTTACTTCACTTGATGATATAAATGTTATACTAGGAAACTTGGTACCATTATTTTCCGATTTTTCTTCAGCAATTAAAATAATTAATATTGCAGTTCAAAGGGAAAAAAGGGTATATAATTAATGTATATTATTATTTTGTAAAAAAAATGTACATTTTTTTTTCCTCACTGCTTTGTAATTTATTAAAACAACTATGAGTAGAATTGTTAAAATTACTTTTTTGGAATATTGTATGAAAATGAAAGAAAAATATATATTAACTAGTATACTATTGAAGTAAATGTATCATAAACTTCTACATAAGAAATTATTAACTACAGGTGAAAACAATTCTAAATCAAATAGAAACGGATTATAGTTTTTTCACTACAAATTGTGAAAAGGAAATTATATCGAAATATGCCGAAAATGGGAGAAAATTTACTATTTACTGTACAGGTAATTAGTGTATTTTAAAATGCCTATAACAAATTTTTTATACATCATGTATATGTGTCTTTCCGCAGTTACTTTTACTATGGCAATGCTACATTTAATGATTGCACCACTGAAGGGAATTTTTGGTAGGGTGAACAACACGAGTAAACGACCAATGTTACATCACGTTGAATATTTTGTAGATACTCAGAAATATTATTATTTGATTATTTTCCAAACTTACGTTATTTATTTTATCGTTTGTTTCTCGTTTGCTATGGTGGACACATTGTTTGTGATTTTCGTGCAGCATAATTGTGGATTATTTAAAACATTAGGGTAAAATCCGTGATGTTCGATATATAATCAATATGATAATTAAGTATTATAATAAAAATAATTATTACAGGTATCGACTTTCTCATTTAATTGATGAAAAAGTCTTAGATAATGATGTCTTAAATCCTTCGAAATCAGGAGATAAATACTATAAAGATATTTCCTTATATGCCCTGAGACATCAGAAAGCAATAGAGTGTGTAATTTTCTAATATTTTCATTTAAAAAATTTTTATATTATTTATTCATGAAATAAAAATTTGGAATTATTAAGAATTTTGACATTTTCTATAAAGGTTTGCTGAACTATTGGATTCATTTTATTCGGCTTTAATTCATGTCTACTTTGAATGTATGAACGGTCAACGACTTATCAATCATAGTAGTGAAATGCACGAACATCTGTAAGTATTTAAAAATATTTATACACTCGTTGTTTTTAAATGATTGAGTACTGTCAAGTTTATTTCTGATTAGATATTAATTTGATAGATAAAATCTATCAGAGGATGCGGATAAAAAATGATTATTATAATTTTTATCGATTACAGAATAAATACCGAGTGGTATTGTACATCTTTACGAACAAGAAAAGTAACCACTTTGATGACACTTAGATCATTGAAACCTTCTATACTAACAGCTGCAGGAATATTAAATATATCATTGAAAACTTTTTGCTCTGTAAGAATTATTATTTTTTATAATTTTATATAAATATGTTTTCGTACTAATTTGATTTTTATTGTTTAAGATTGTTCGTACCTCGATTTCATACTTCACTGTTATGCGATCTTTTCAATGAAAATTTGAAATATAGAATTCTATCACTAATTGCTAAGATACAAAATAACACATCCACCCACCAATTAATTTAAAAAAAATAGTATTGTCAAGAATTTGTGTATAGTTATCTCTATAAAATTTCCAAAATACTTTTTTAATTTTCTATATCTTTACATATGTATATTATTAAAAGCCTCAATGGAATAAAACTGAAATTAACAAAAAAGAGTAATAATTATCATTACATCATAATTTTCGATTTTTACAAAATTTAAATATAATTTAAATCCAAATATTTTCAGTGTTGACTTAAATTATAACAAATAGTCATAGACAGTGCAAAAGTATTAAATCCGAAATAATTAAATCCTATCCATTTATTATATACAATAAGCACAAACATCTTTTGCTCTATCGTTTACTTTTGGATTAATATAACTAATTAATAAAATGGATTGATTTCGAAACACAATGTATTTAAGCAAATAATACTTGGCAGAGCATATTATTTCATATAAATGAAATAAGTTCTTCCTTCTGACTAAACGACAAAATACGTCGCTTAGATCGATAATTTCACGTAAAAGGGAAATGACTGACGAATTAATTATTCATCATAGACAAGCGTGTAAATGCAGACATCTGTATAATTATCGACAGCCCTTATGATGTTATCGATACCAAGAGAATTCTAAATGACAAGACTATTATTGAACTGACTATAACTTCAATCAGGAAAAGGAGATTTCTATCTTAGTATATTTTCGATACTATATGAACGTGATGGATTTCTTTGACGGTCGTCACTATGCAATCAATAAAGGTACACTATCCTTATTGGGCCAATGGCCTTATCAATCGATTAAAAACAAATATATTTGTTTGATGATTTTATTTCTATTGACAGGAACACAAATTATTGCTAAGGTAGATTTATATATATAGACTTATAAATTTGGATAATTCTCTTTTGTCTTTATTTGTCTTAAAATTATAAAACGTTATGTAAATATAATTATATTTTCTTCCATCCTTTACTACAGGTATGCGCTATTATTACTTCACTTAATAATGTAAACGTTGTACTAGATGACATGGCATCACTAATTGCCGATTTTACTGCAGCAATCAAATTAATTAATGTTTCAGTTCAAAGAAAAAAGGTATATAATTAATGTATTGCATTATTTCATCAGTAAGATGTATTTTTTTTCTGTTTTATTTGTAAAACTTAAGAAAAATAACTGTGATCAATTTTGTTATTATTATTTATTTAAATTTTATGTGAAAATAAAAGAAAAATATTTATTAGCTGGTATGTTATTGAAGTAAATATATCATAAACGTCTAAATAAAAAATTGTTAACTTCAGATGAAAGTACTTCTAAATCGTATGAAAACAGATTATGCTTTATTCACTACAGATGGTGAAATCGAAATTATGGTGAAATATGCCGAGAATGGAAGAAAATTTACTATTGTTTATTTAGGTAATTGAGGCATTTGAAAATGTTTATAACAAATTTTTTATATACATTGTTTATGCATGCCTTTCCGTAGGAATTTTTTTTGTATCAATGCTACAATTTATGATTCCACCATTAAAGTCAATCATCTTGAGTAGTATGAATGGAACGATTGAACGACCATTGATACATCACGTCGAATATTTTGTAGATCCTCAAAGATATTATTATCTTATTATTTTTCAATCTTATGTGATTATTTTTGTCTGTGCTTTTATTATCGCTACGATGGATACAATGTTCGTGGTTTTCGTGCAACATGCTTGTGGATTATATACAACATTAGGGTAGAATCCTTGACATTCGGTATAAAATCTGTATAATAATAAGTTTATCATAAAAATTTATAATAAATGAAGTACTTTAAAATATTTTACTGTATAATAATAAATTGTTGATAAAGGCATAACTGTTGCAGATATCAACTTCGTCATATAATCGACAATAATATTTTGTTGATAAATTTGTATCCTTCGAAATCAAATGATAAGTCTTATAAAAAGATTTCTGAATGCATTCGTAGACATCAAGAAGCTATACAGTATGTAATTTTTCAACATTTTTAATCTAAAAAATGTTTATATTATTTATTAAATGAAGTGATAATGAAAGAATAATTTATAGTTATTAAGATTATTGACTTTTTCTATGAAGGTTTACCGATCTATTGGAATCATTTTATTCCACGTCCATTTTTCTCTACTCGGGAATTAGTATAATTGGAATGAGTGTTTCTAGTCTACAGGTATACAACTAAATTTTCTTATTCGACGTAATCAATTACAGGTTCTTATAATACATTTCATTCATATCATGCTATGAAGAATTACACATTAAAGAAATGCGTTCTATATTATATAAAAACTGTGATATAAGATACATGCAAAATTTCATATAAAATGAAATATTATTTGGGATATACAATTTTTTTAACAATTTTAAAGTATATATATATATATATATATATATATATATATATATATATTAATTCTTATTAAAGCACAAATAAAATATAGAAAAAAGAAATTCAAGAAATTAGAAGTAAATACTTGCAATAAAACTTATTTGTGTTCTCATATAGTAATACTTATCAGAAACAATTACACGTCATAACAATCACTGCATTACATTATCGATTTTCATTATTTCGTACAATGTTTAATACGATGTGCGTATTGAACGATTAATGTAATTTTTTCTACCTTTTAATATTGAAATAATGAATATCATATTATAGAATGTTTGGCTATATTATAATATCACATGTTTAGGCTATTTTAAATGTCAACGAGACCAAACAATTTTTTCAACAAATGTGTGTTTGTAACACGACATTATTTATTATCTTGTTTCAATGTGTGAACGGTCAACGGCTTATCGATCATAGTAGTAAAATGCATGAACATCTGTAAGTATTTAAAAGTATTTATACATTCACTGTTTTTAAATGATTAAATACTGTCAAGTTTATTCTTGATTAGGAATTAACTCGACAGATAAAATCTTTCAGAGGATACAAAATAAAAAATGATTATTATAATTTTCATCGATTTCAGAATAAATACCGAGTGGTACCGAACATCATTACGAACAAGAAAAGGAATCTATTTTATGTTATTTAGATCACGAAAACCTTGTATGCTAACTGCTGCAAAAATGTTCAACGTATCCATGGAAACGTTTAGCGCTGTAAGAATTATTATTTTTTATAACTTTATATATAAATATGTTTTCGTACTAATTTGATCTCTTTTGTTCAAGATTGTTCGTACCTCGATTTCGTATTTCACTGTTTTGCGATCTATGCAATGAAATTTATTTTACGATTGTAAAAGATATGGAGTAACACACGCAAAAATTATTTTTACAAAAATAATATTGTCAAAAATTTGTCATATAGTTTTCCCTGTAAATTTTCGATATTATGTAAATAAATAAAAAGAAATTAAGTGTCAGTGAAATAAAAATTAAGATCAATAAATAATAATAATTACTGTTAGCCAAAATCTTTGATTTTTAAAAGATTCAAATTACATAGTAGACATTTCTATATTTTCAATTTATAACAGACGCAAAAACTAAAAAAATTATAATTGAAGGAGGATAGGAATAATTATAACATTGGAAGAAGAATTGAAAGGATTTGCTAAATTCAAAGTAATTCAATTTTATCCATTCGTCATATAGAATAAGCACAAATAACTTTTGCATTAAACTATCGTTTACTACAGAATAAATGTTATCGACTATTAAAATAAATTGATTTCGACATACAATATAGATAAGTAAATAATTGCTAGTTAATAATAACTACTTCGCAAAAATCAAATGGAAACATTCCCTTTGTAACTGAATGATAAAATACTTCGCTTGGATGGATATTTTCACGTAAAAGGGAAATGATTGAGGTATTAATTATTCATTACAGACAAGCGTGTAAATCCAGACATCTGTATAATTATCGACATCCCCTGTGACTTTTATTGATACCAAGAGAATCATAAATGACGAGACTATTATTGAACTGACTATGAGTAGTTCAGACAACACAAGGGGATCTCTCTATTTTAGTCTATTCTCGACATTCTATGAAAGTGATGGATTTCTTTGACGGTCGTCACTACGCGATCAATAAAAGCATGCTATCATTATTGGGCCAATGGCCTTATCAATCGATTAGAACAAAATACATTCGTTTGGAGATTATATTTTTATTACTTGGGACACAAATGTTAGCTAAGGTGAAGTATTTTTTATGTTCTCATATTATTAGAATAGAAAATTTTATGAAATAGATTAGGATCACTTATTCTTTATCCTATAATATTATAAATGTTATTTTAAATAAGCACTTAATGAGTTCCTCATTTTCCGTTCTCTTTACTGCAGATAGCAGCTACCATAACTTCCTTTAGAGATAGAAGTGTAGTACTAGACGACATGGCACCACTTGTTGCTGATTCTATCGCAGCAATCAAATTAATTAACGTAACAGTACAAAAAGAAAAGGTAATTATTGCATACCGTTATTCAAATAAACTATATTTCTTTTTTTTTGTCATATTTGTGTGACGTAGTGAAATAACTATGAGTAGCTTTGTTAGTATTATTCAACCAAATTTTGTGTGAAAATAAAAGAAAAATATATAATACCTATTGTGCTATTGAAATAAATATATGGCAAATGTCTTAATAAAAAATTGTTAATCACAGATGAAAATACTTCTAAATCGTATGCAAACAGATTATGCTTTATTCGCTACAGATGGTGAAATGAAAATAATGGTGGAATATGCCGAGAATGGAAGAAAATTTACTATTGTGTATATAGGTAATTAATTCAGTTGAAAATAACAAATTTTTTATCTGTATGGTTTATGCATGCCTTTTCGTAGGAGTTTTTTTTGTATCAATGCTACAATTTATGATTCCACCACTAAAGTCAATCATCTTGAGTAACATGAACGGATCGAGCGAACGACCATTGATACATCACGTTGAATATTTTGTAGATTCTCAAAGATATTATTATCTTATTATTTTACATTCTTACGCGGTTATATTTATCTGTGTTTTTACTATCGCTACTATGGACACAATGTTTGTGGTTTTCGTGCAACATGCTTGTGGATTGTTTACAGCAATAGGGTAAAATCTTTAATATTCGATGTAGGTTAAAATCTTTGACTGTATAATAACAATATTATAAAAATTTATAATAAATGAAGTATTTAAAAATATTTTATTATATGATAATAAATTATTGATACAGGCATAACTATTGTAGGTATCAACTTCGTCATATAATCGACAATAATATTTTGTTAATAAATTTAAATCCTTCGAAATCGAATGATAAGTTTTATATAAATATTTCTAAATGCATTCATAGACATCAAGAAGCTATACAGTTTGTAATTTTACAATATTTCCATTTTAAAAAAAATTTATATTATTTATTAACTGAAATGATGATGAAATAATAATTTGGAGTTATTAAGATTATTGACTTTTTCTATAAAGGTTTGCTAATCTATTGGATAAATATTATTCAACGTCGTTTTTTCTCGTATCAGGAATTAGCATGATTGGTATGAGTATTACTGGGCTACAGGTATACAACTAAACTTTCTTATTCGCAGTAATCAATTTGTCTTTTTCAAACTACAAACAACCCTCTTGTAACATAATTCATTCGTACAATATAATTCATACAGCATAATGAGAAATTACTAAGTATTTAAGTAATTAAGAATTTTTTTGTCAATTTTTCTATTTTGTTATGTAAAAATTGCCTTCTCGAAGTAACTTGTTACAAGAGGGTATTTCGAAATTTTTCTAACATATACCAAGTATAATTTTTTCTAAGTATCATGTTATGAAAGATTTGTATATATTATAATATCTAAATATATTATAATAATATTTAGGCTATACTAAATATCAACGAACCCAAACAATTTTTTCAACAAATGTGTGTTTGTTATACGACATTAATTCATGTCTTGTTTGAATGTGTAAACGGTCAACGACTTATCGATCATAGTAGTCAAATGCACGAATATTTGTAAGTTGAATGTTTGATTTAATAGTTTCGAGTTTATTTTGAATTAGGAATTAACTTGGTAGATAAAATATTTTACAGATAAGGATAAAAAATGATTGCTATAATTTTCATCGATTACAGAATAAATACCGAATGGTATCGAACATCATTACGAACAAGAAAAGGAATCTGTTTTATGTTACTTAGATCACAAAAATCTTGTACGATAACTGCTGCAAAAATGTTCAACATATCTATTGAAACGTTTACCTCTGTAAGAATCATTATTATTTATGATTTTATCTAAACATATTTACGTACTAATTCGATTTCTTTTGTTCAAGATTGTTCGTACATCGATTTCATATTTTACTGTTTTGCGTTCGATACAGTAAAATTTTGATAAATAACATTTTATGCAATCATACATAGATTATTAATATGCGGAGTAACACAAATTATATTAACAAATAATTAAACAGCTATATATACAAATAACATATATTTTGACAAATTATATGCCACAAATTTTTAATTTTTTCTAGATATAGTTTTTTTTCTAGAAATTTCCAAACTCTTCTTTTATTTTATATACTAGTATAGTTAAGAATATCAATCAATTGTTGTGTAAAAATTTATTTTTAATTTCTATAAAATTCAAATGACATAGTAGACATTTTTTATTTAAATTTTAAAAGTCGGTCAAAACAGTAAGAAAATTCTTAGAGATATCTTCATATATAAATAACACGAAGTTGTATAATTCCGAAAACGACAACTTCAACGATTTTCAGTCAACATCACTTTCTGCTTTGTATTTTAGGCTTTTGAAATTTGATTCATTATATTCGCAAGGAAAAATTTGTCTTAATCTTTTATTTTTACCACTTATTTGCAACAATGTTTCTCGATTAAAAAGCTAATTGTAAAAGAAAAAAAAAAAAGAAAAAAAAAGATAAGAAAAATAGAAAAATATACAAGCAAAATGAATCTTGATTATGACATAAACAAAAAGGTTTTAAATTTGGAAAGCTTGGGTAGAAAGATTTGTTCGGACTTACGAAATCTTCAAAGGGAACGAATTATACTCTCTCGAGAAGCCAAATCCCTTTTACGTGAATTTGAACGAGAAGAAACACAACGAGATCATATTAAAAATAAGGTGGTCTTAAAATAAAATCATTCAAATTATTCGATTATGAAATTTTACGATTCTAACAACATACATATTTCATAGAAAGATGATAATAAACCTTGTAGTTGTGCAGTTTGGGAAAATGATATAAGAAAAGAGGATAAAAATGAGACCGAAGGACCTATGAAATTGATCACGCAAGATGAAATATCCTATAAAAATTTCTGCAATGAATGTTGTCAACATTGCGTTCCAAGATATGATAACAATATGATATTACAAACTTACAGGTACAATGATTCATTCATCAACTATATTTTCTCTTCTTCTTTTTTGTTGTTTTTTTTATTTTATAATATTCAATGATACTCTTCTCTTAATTGTTTTCAGATACGATGAACCATTTTACTGTGATCATGCTTTAAAAAATATCGATTATTCTTGCATCGGTGATAATGTTATGATTAAAGACGATGCCAATGGTGATAATAATTTTAATGGTATCGATGAGTTAGGCAAATATAACGAAACATGTACAATTAATCCTTCGTATTTCTATGACTTATGCGTGTTTTGCGATGACGATAATATGGAAGATACGCATGTGTTATCGACCAATCATAAAATTAGTGAGTCGAAAAAAACTGATATGAAAGAATTAATAGAAAGACAGAGAGGTGGAGGAGAAAATTCGAATTCAGAATCAACGATCGATAAATTATCAAGTCAAACGATTTGTACTTGCGAGTGTGATTTATGTGCTCTTCGAAACAAATATGGCGAGAGACCTCCTTGTTCTAAAGAAAGCAATGAAATCGATCGTTCTTTCGATATTGATAATGAAGATAATTTGTCAATAAATCAAGCGACGTGTTTGGAATTGCCAGAAATTAGTCAAGTAACGATAACTCGAGTTTTTCAAGGAAAAAAAAAACCTAAAAAAAATGAAGATAAGAAATTTACAATAAATTTCTATTCTCTTTCCTCTTAGTATAGCATCATTTCTTATATTTCGTTTTGTAGTATTGTAAGATCGACAAGTTACGAGAATCATTGGAAAGATTGAAAAATCGCAATCACACATTGAGGAAATTATTGAAAAGTCAGGAATGTTTTCTGAAAAATCCAAAATGTACATATTGTTCACTTCTTCTTAAAGAGTACG